AGATTCAATCAGGTACTGGGATCTAGTTCTGCCAGACAGGCCCCCAGCCCTGGTTTTCGCGTGGACTGGCATGTGGTGGTCAGCAATGTTCCATGCTAACAAGCCCAACTCTGGATTCCCATGTGGGCTGGTGCATGAGTCTGACCCATGCAGGTATTCCAGTCTCTCCCCTCCAAACCAACAGGTCTCAGTCCCCTTGCTTATCCACAAGTACAGTGTCCCTGTTGTTGAGTATTCCTCAGGATTCATTCCTCACCTGCACATACCTTATCCATGGATGTCCCTAAGCACTAATTCCAGAACCCCAAGACCCCAGAGCTCGCCAGCAAGCAGCCAGCAGGCGAAGCCCAGCTCCATTGTTGCTCTGACCACCCCAAGCTCAGGATTCACCCACCACTTGGCAGCAGTGAATAGGGAGCTAAGAGCCCCAGAAGGCAGCCTGGACCAGCAGCAGTTCTCACAGCCACAGCCATATGGCTGGAGATTCAAGCACCCGCACACTTACCTGCACTCTGCCCACCAACATGGCGGCTGTAGGCAGAGCCATGATCCTGAGCATGCCTAGAGCCATCCTTTGAGATCCGCCCACAGCATGATCAACATGGATGACTATAGACAGAGGAAATTCTCAGACTTCAGGTTCAGACAAGCTCAGGATTCACCCACTGCTCGGCAGCGGTGGACAGGGAGCCAGGAACCCCAGCAGGAAGCCTGGACTGGCACAAGTTCGCCCAGCCACAGCCACAGCCACAAGGCTGGGAGATTCAAACACCCACACCTCTGAGCTGACTTACCTGGACTGCTGTACATTTTATTCTAGATACTATTATTTTTATTGTGTATTTTTGAGATAAGCAATAAATGTTATGTTTTATTGAATTATCTGTCCAAGTCATTTGTATAGTTTTAAAGTTGCTACAAGTTCACCATTAGAAAATGTGTGAAGCAGCATTTCTTCCATGCCAAAGAAAAACCAGTGGGTGCCAGTGTTGTGGCATAGAGGGCCAAGTCACCACCCACAAGGCCGGCATCCCACTTGGTGCCAGTTCAAGTCCTGACTGTTTCACTTCCAACTCAGCTCACTGCTACTGAGCAGAGGATAGCCCAAGCCCTTGGGCCCCTGCACTCATGTGGGAGACCCAGGGGAAGTTTCAGGCTCCTAGCTTTGGACTGGCCCAGCAACCATTTTGGGAGTGAACCAACAGATGGAAGACCTTTCTCTCTCTCTGTATCTCTACCTTTCAAATGAATACATATATTTTTAAAATTAAATTTTAAAAGGGGAGCCTTAATTCTAGATATGAAAAGTGATCACTTTAAAGCTCATTTGGATTTGTACAGTACAAATATAAACAATAGCCACACCACTCAAACATCTGAGATCTTCATTTCCTTTTGAGTCTTGACAAACGGGAGTTTAGCTAGTTTACTTCAGTCTTGCAACTAGAGGGCATTCTAGAACTTTATGATACGCCAGGGGTTAGAATGTTGATGTTCTTCTCTCAGCACACAGGAAAGCAATGACACGCCGACCACATTTAATTCTTTACACACAAGCACCACACCCTGGACTGGAAAGGGACCCAGAAACCCTAACGCGCTAATGCTGAGGCAGACTGAGACCTTTCTTATTAAATCCCTTCCAGTTCAGACCCAGCATTACAGCTGAGGCTAACACTGGCTTTCAGTTCACGAATTATTGTCATTATAGAAAAGATACAATTCCACAGGCCCCTGGCCATAAAAGTGAAGACAGCACAAAGCAGTCGTGGACAGCAGCCCCACGTCCCAGTCACCCAGGATTTGAAAGTAACAGTGTCCGGTAGCGTCACCACCCACCATGGTCTCCACACACATGCCAGGGGACAACATCGGTTTGGAAGAGGAAGGGACATGTGGCCCATCCAACACTGGATGGTGAAGCTTGCCAGAAAATGGAAAGTGCCACAAAAGGCACTTTGGAAAAGAGGTCGGATGAAACCGCTCTGAGCTAAAAGTGATGAGAAAAACTCAGTGGCCTAACAGGCTAATCCTCTGCCTATAGCGCCAGCATCGCACACTGGCATCAGTTCTAGTCCTGCTACTCCACTTCCCATCCAGTTCCCTGGGATCCTGGGAAAGCAGCAAATGATGGCCTAAGTCCTTGGACCCCTGTACCCATTGGGGAGACCTGGGAAAAAAAATGCCTGCTTGTGAAAAATGAAGCAAGCAATGGGTTTTGCTAAGAGGAAGGCAATTTGAAAGTATTTTTAAAAGACGACTCAGCAGTAGATGTTTCCTCTGTGGTCGCAGGCAAGAGGAGAACTTTGTGAGCCTCGGTTTTTCTCACCTGTATAATGGGCAGAATGTGTACCTCAACCAGATCTGTACAGATTGGACTGCCCAAAGGAATTCAATCTGCCCAGGGCCTGGAACGCAGTCAACATCCAAAATCAGGAGTCCTCCCCACCAGGGAGGGACATTCAGAGACCAAGGGCAGCTTCGCTTTTCCACACAGCTTTGCAAGTACTAGAGGACGGCCCGGAAGAGGAGGAGGAAGGAGGGACACCGAGGCGGTCTCGGGGACACCTGGCGCCCCGTTTTGAGACGCGCAGGAAGGCAGCCAGCGTATCTCGCCTCCGCGTCCTTTCAGGAAAAACAGCACTGGACGCCTTTTCTAGAAGCCGCTGAACCGCACTTCACACAGCTCTCTCTGTATGTCCCATCCAACAGCTCCGCCGCTTCGGCTGCCCAAGCAGGTCAGGCTCTTCCTCACTCCTCTTTCCAACGGTCCTTCCCTCCCACTCCCATCCGTGCCTCCCCCACTTACCTGTGGCTCAGGTCCAGACCCGCCGCTGGAGCTGGGCCCCTGTGTGAGGTAAGAGTCCTGCACCTGCGTGGGCGTCTGGAAGCTCCCGAAGCATCTCCTCAGAGGCCCCGTTAACACCAGAAGCGGAAGCAAAACCTGGGCAGGTCCCTGGGGCGCTCCAGCTCCACCTGTCGGTGAACTTGCAGTCTCCGCACCAGCAGATACGCGGCACCTGCCCATTGTCCCAGGGACCTGCAAAAGTTCCGTCTCCACATACTGCCAAACACGCTGGACGTAGAATGCATTCTGGCCGTTTCCTACGTGCCCTGAGTTAGACAGGCCTACCACCTGAGCTCAGCCACCTGGCCTGGGCCGAGGAAGGAGGCATTTGCTGAAGAGGCTGCGTTATCTTCCGAGTTTCCACCCGCGTCAGTGACACCAGCACAAACTTACTTTCCGAGCGTTTGTTGGGGCTGACACATTAGGGAACACAGCCACAGGTTTGATGTTTTAAAGCAGGACAACAAATTTCAAAGAGAAAAAAAAGGGGCACACATTATCAAGGGAGAGAATTCTTACTGACCCTTACCCCCGGGTGCCTTCAAAGAGCAAAGGGGGAACATACAGAGCCCCTCAAAAGGGTGCCTGATAAGAGACCCCTGACCTGCTTGAAGACAGGCAGATAGCGCCCCGTCGCCACCTCTGCTCGCCTCCTTCTCCTCCCCAGGACCACACTCCACTGCCTGGCAGAGCTCCTGGCAAGGACAGGAAGTGCCAGCGGCCCACCACCAGCGCTTGCAGTGAGACAGGCTGACACTGTCAGCCCTGACAGACACACTTCACTCACACTCTCCTTTACAACTTCTCCAGGAGGTGGAAATTGCGTGGTAGAAGCAAATTGCCCCAAAATAAAACACACTTCACTGAGAGGATGGGAGGGGTGAGGGCTGGCTGGGGAGAGGAGGATAGGGAGGAAGTCACAGCTCAGAAGGCCAGCATTTTGCCACAGCCAGCTAAGCTGCTGCCCGTTCAAGTCCTGGCGGCTTCACTGCCAATCCAGCTGCCTGCTACTACACTTGGCAAGGCAGCCCGTATGCCTGAGCCCTTGCGTCCACGTGGGAGAGCCAGAAGTTCTGGTGTCCTGGCTATGGCCTGGCCCAGTCTTGGCCCTTGAAGCCATCTGGGGAGTGAGTCAGCAGATGGAAGCTGTCCTGTCTCTGCCTCTGTGGCACTCGGCTCCTGGCTGTCTTGCGATGCCTTCAGCTCCAGCATTGTTCTTGTGGTCGCAGAGGACAGGATCCACCCGGGCAGCACCGGCTCTTCCGGGACCTTCCAGGGACACGCTGAGCTCACTGATCCCTGTCACGTGCGTGGCATCTGACCGAGTCACATTCTGGCTGGAGACGTCCTCCTCACAAGGCACACACAGCTAACGGCAGGCAGCGGTGTGCTCTCCATGCAGACCCGGCCCAGGCCTGGGCTTCCTGAGGGCTCATTTCTGCATCAGGTGCTCAGGCCTTTTCCTTTCTGTTCCCCCTCTCTGCGAAATGACTGAAGGCTCGACCTCCCTCACCTGAGGAGGGAAGGGGAGGGTGGACAGGGGAGAGCAGGGGAGGGGAGCTGAGGGGAGGGGAGAGGAGGGGAGGGGAGGGGTGGGCAGGGGAGAGCAGGGGAGGGCAGAGGAGGGGAGAGGAGGGGAGGCTGCCAATGTAGTGACAGCAAGCTGCAGTCACCTCCTCTTCCCCCCTCTCTGTGGACATAGAATAAAAAATTGAAATTTCTGTCCCACCCACCTTTCTCCATACCTGACCCTCCCCACCAGAGACCCACATGGGCATGTATTCCTCTCAACTATGTGAACAATGTTGGTAACAAAATTAAATCCCTACAAAAAGATTGAATCAAATGAAAAACAAAACAAAAAGCCCAGCTCCAACTCCTGACTACACAGACCCTGTCCCGTCCTCCCCTGCCCAGGGCCGCCCAGGGCCGCCCAGGCCACCCAGAGCCACCGACCCGACCCCACCCATGGCCACCACAAGCATATGGAAGTGACCCAGAAGATGGGTGTTTGCTCACTTCCTGGCACTCTCTCTCGACAGAGAAAGATTCTAAGCCCACACTGATTCCCCAGACACTGGTCCAAGGGTCCCTTCTCCTTACTCAGATGACAAAGACGGGAATAATACAAACAAAATCAGTTGTAAGATGAAAAAAATCAAACAGGATTTTATTAAAATATACACAAATAACCCTCATTTTATTTATTTTTTTAATTCTACCAGTTTTGGGATGTTAGGTGACAATCCCGTGAAAAGCAGTGGTCCTGACGGAGCCAAGGACACCACAGCACTCCTGTCCAGACGGGAGCTGAGCATTCTGGGAAGGCTTGAGTGCTGTGTCAGCCAGGGAGCGAAGCAACTGACGTCCAGGGACATACGTGCCGTCGGAGTCAGCTGCAGGGGACGTCCAGGGACGCACGTGCCGTCGGGGTCAGCTGCAGGGGACGTCCAGGGACGCACGTGCCGTCGGGGTCAGCTGCAGCTTTGTGGTGTCCCTGCTCTCATTCAATTCCTGGGCACAATGCTGACAGCATACATTAACTACCTAGCAGTTCACAGGAAGGTAATGAATGCCAAAGTCAGGAAATACTTTCAAGAATGGTAAGAGAAATACAGAACTTTCTGCTTTAAAAAATGCATTGATGTCACCACTTTATTCACACTAATTGGTATACACAAAAAATGTGTATTGTGTCAGTTTCAAAAAATTCCATGTTCCATGAGAACTATGTAAACAATGTAAAATGTTTCTACTTTATAAAAGAAGAAAAAAATCAGCATTCCCATGTAGTATAGGAAAACACCTAGATAATCTCCACGTGTGCTGAAACAAGGGAACTACTACAGAGCAGTCTTCTCATGAAGGGAGTTTACAGCCTAGAAGAAATACAGCTCATATTTCCAACACTTTGGTATACGTGGCATCAGTACAGAGCAGGGAAAGCTCTACTTTGATTCTCACACTAACTGCAACCTCAGTGAGGAAAGGAGTCCCAGCCCCCAGGCGACAAAACAGAAAAGCTCCCACTCGCTTCCCTCCCCGCAGGAGGACAGCCCTACTCTGCGGGCAGAGGCTTCCAGCCAGCGTGCAGCCCCCAGTCCCACAGGCCACCCGGGGGACAAATGAAGGCTGCTCGGCGTGTCGCTCAAACTCCCTATCAAGTGTACATCAACTAGATTCTCAACAAGCCCGCAGCTGAATAAAAAGAAAATACTATGTTAATAAAAAGAAAAATGCAAGTTTAATAGCCCACAAGAATTGAAGGAACAGAAGTGACTGCTGCATGCTACAAGTTTTTCTTCATTGTTATCATACTTATCTTTCACAACTAAACTGGTCTGAAGACTTTTTCATGGCGTCATTTTTCTAATCACATTTTCTTCCTGCATAGACTGTCCTGCGCACTTTGCAATGGGTCCTGCATCTGAGAATGGAGTCTGAGCACTTGCTGTGGTAGCATCCTGGCCTCCGTCGCAGCAGCATGCTGGGAGCATCCTCCGGGAACTTTCTCAGCCATGCACATTACACCGACTTTCTGCGAAGACAAAGTCTTAAACAGAATAAAGAGCCCAGTGAGCCAGACAGATTCATAGCAGCAATATACCAACGCACTCCCAATCCATTCTGAAGTTAGCACAGCACACCAAGTACTCCGGGTTCTGAACACACACTGCAAACTACCGGCACACACAGGCAGCAGCCAGGGTTCCGAAGCAGGCCTTCCTTCAACGGCCTGGGAGGGGCCTGGGCAGTGTTAGCTAGTGCGACCATCTTTGGAGTAAGGCAAATACATAAGGAAAATTTTTTTTCCATTTTTTTACAAATGTTTTTATTGGAAAAGGAGGGTTACAGAGCAAAGGATATGCAGAGAAATCATCCATCAGCTGGTTCACTCCCCAAACAGCCACAATGGTCGGAGCTGAATTTGTCCAAAGCCAAGCGCCAGAAGCTTCTTCCAGGTCTCCTTTGTGAGTGTAGGGGCCCAAGTACTTGGGTCATCCTCTGCTGCTGTCTTAGTCCATAAGCAGGGAGCTGGATCAGATATGGAGCAGCAGCAACTAAAATTGGCACCCATATGGGATACCAGCACCATAGGCAGAGACTTAACCTACTATACTATGGCACGAGCTCCAAGAAAAAAGCAAAATTTAAAGTCAATGTTCTGTTGGGTTATAACTTATGATTCAACAGGCTAAGCTGCCAACTTCTCAGCCTGCCTCCTGTGGGTACTGGCCCAGGATATTCTACCTCTCAGCCCGCTTCCTGTGTGGATACTGGCCCAGGACATCCCACTTCCAATCAGCTTCCACCTGCGGTGTCTGGAAAAGCAGCAGCTGACAGTCCGAATTCCTTGCACCCTGGTGTTCACAAGGGACACCCAGAGGGTGCTCCTGGCTCCCAACTTCAACCTGCCTCTGGCTGTTACAGCCATTCAAGGAGTGAGCCAAGGAATGGAGACATATCTCTATTATCTATCCCTGTGTGTGTCACTCTGCCTCTCAAATCTTAAAAAATTGTTTTCAATTACAAAATTACAGTAAACAAACCATTTGTGAAATGATTGAGATTTTAATTATATCTCATCAAATTCCTAGGACTATTTTGCTATTTGAAAAGCAGAGACAGTGACCTTCACTCTGCAGCCGCTGAGGGGGCCAGGCTGCAGGCAGCCACGAAGAGCACCCCCGCCCCCCGGCCTTCCACGCGGTGGCAGGGACCCTACTACCTGACCTAGTACTTAACTCTGCACCTGCTACCAGTCAGGCTGCGGGAAGAACAGAGGCAGACTCTCACTTGAAATCAGTGAAATGTAACAGAGAAATAACAAAAAGACCAAAGACCCAGAATCCAGTATCCAGCATGTGATAAAAACATTAAACCAATGACAATGGGTGCATTAAAACACTACATATTTAGGGGAAAAAAAGATAAAACCCTTCTCATACCATATTCTTTTAAATTAAAAAGTCAAGTAAAAAAAAAGCAACATGTAAAAACTAAAAGAGGGGCCAGTGTGTGGACTAGCCAGTAAAGCTGCACCTGAAACACCAGTGCCCCGCGTGGTACTGCTGTGTCCCAGCTCCCTGCTAATGGCAGCAGCTGGCCCAAAGAGCCAGGGCCCCTGCCACCCCACGGGAGACCCAGACAAAGTTCCTGGCTTCAGCCTAGCTCAGGCCTTGGCCACTGCAGCCACTTGGGAAATGAACCCCAGATGGAATCTCTGCCTCTCCCTTTGTCTCCATAACTCTGGTTTTCAAACAAGTCTAACCTTGAAAGAATAGGACAACAAAATTAATGAAAGGACTGAAAGAAAGTAAAACTAAATCATCTTTAGACTAGATCACATCTATTTTGAAAGTTTCTTTATTTGAGAGAAAGAGATACATGGAAGCAGAGAGAGCAGGCAGAGCTCTCCCACCCACGGGCAGGACTGGACCAGGTCAAGGCCAGAAACCCGTAGCAAGCCAAGTCTCTCTCAGGAGCAGCACGGGCCCATACTTGACCCATCCCACCTGCTGCCTCCCAGGGCACGTCAGCCTGAAGCGTGATGCACCTGTATGCGATGCCGGTATCTCAACAGATGTCTTCATCATGATCTTTGTTGCCTCCAGAAAAAAAGAATCACACGTGTGGGCCTGTGTCTGGAGGCATTAACAAAGCTCGGCACACTGGCTGCCTCTGGGCAGGAAACGGGAAGAGGCACAAGAAGTCGAGCCTTCTCTTCTGTTACTCTTAAAAGCTGAGCCAAGTGTACATTTAACTCCCTCAGAAACAAAAACAAAAAATACAGATACACACAGGCCAGCACCGAGGCACAGCAGCCCACAGAGGAGCACTGGTGTGGGCCTGGAAGCTCCGTGCCCTTGTGTGCCTGGGAAGGCAGTGACACACCCTCACACTTTGGCCCTTTCTACCCACAATGCAGACCTGGATGGATTTTAAACCTCTAGCTGCACCCTGAAACAGCTCAGGTGTCACAACCAACCTTTGGAGAACTGAACCACCAGATTTGGAAGATAACCCTACCTTTCAAATAAATGTCTTTAATTTTACAACAAGTATAAGCATACTCCCCTGCTCGCTCACACATGGGTTACAGGCTGACATGGGAAAACACAATCTATAAGCTACACATCAGGAAACACGGAGCACTGCAAGCCAGACAAGGCGCATGAGAAGTAACTTCAACAGTGCTCCCGATGATGCTGAAGGGTGCTCCTGCTGCAGGTGCACTCCTCAATTCCCAGACGTCCTGACTGCGGGGCTGCTGCCCCGTGATCATTTTTAAAGCTGCTTTGAGGGACACAGAACCTCTGCTTCACCAGCCTGCCCCACGCCTGCCACCAACACTCCACTCTCTGGCCAGTGTTTTCCATGCCACCCTTGGGACCTCCGTTCCCAGGCTTCTCCAACCGTACACCTGCACAGCTCCAATGGCACCTTCGCTCTCCTTCGATCCCCACAGCGCTCACCTTTCTCTCCCTGTCCCACTTCCCTGATAAATGCAGACACGTGCTTCCTCTGGACATAAACATAGCAGGACACGAATGAAAATGGTCACACAGCTGAGCTATGGTATTCCAACTAATGACCTGGACACTACACAGGGATTCGAATCACTCGTGCCTGCTGACCTCACAGAGCCAAGCTTGCAGCCTTGGACACCACTGACCCAGCAGGCACACAGGGGTCAGCACGCAACAAGGACAGAGTCGATAGTTACCGACCAGCTGAAGCACTCTCTTATAGTTCAAGGCCTGAAATGCGGTAGCTTTCGATTTTAAACACCAGCTTATCAACATAAAGGCTCTTCAAACAGTTCATTAAGATGGGATTAAAATGTGTCACATAATGGATTATGTAATTAATTAAGTGAAAAAAAGGGAAAAAAAGATGGGATAAAAGGAGGTGTTTTTGTGCAAAAAATTTAAAATCTACGTAGTTTTTTTTTTACAATACCCATTTTTCATGAGTGTCTGAAGTATTCCCCATATCCTAGTATCAGAAAAGGTGAGAACTGACAAAACAATGGATTCTGATGGCCTGAGAAGGACCTACACATTCCTGGCCAGGAACTGGGGTGGGCTGGGATGGAGCCACATAACAGAGTGAATACAGCGGTCACCGAGGACACTGCGCAAGCCGTCTGGCTGACGGCAAACAGCAAGCTATGGAACACTGTGCTGAACGAGGTCCTTGCGTTCAGAGTACAAGCCATTTCTGCTCGGACCTGCGCGGGCAAACGTGTCTCGGGAAAGCCTGCTGAGAGGCTGAGGGATCACCACCATTTACCATCAGGAAAGCAAAAGGTGTCAGAAGCCCTCTGCTGTCAGCGCCGTAGGGCCCCCTCCACGATGCCTCTCCTCCCACACACCCACAATGACTCAGCAACACTTGTCGGAGGACAGAGAGGGAGGCACGGAACACCGGACGTTGGCCCAGGCAGCAAGCACACACAGGGGAATCCTGGAACACACTTCCTACTTTCCTAACAGAGAGACCTGACTGCTGCTGCTCCACACCCCAGCCCGTGTTGAAGCCGTGACAGCAGGGACCGTCCAGGAGCTGCAGGGGAGCTGTGCTGTCTGGAGGTGACACTCAACGGAACAGCCCTTTCTGCTTTTAAAGAAGAAACATACACTTCCCTTCCTTTAAGGCAAAGAAATCCTCAACTGTACTCCTGGCAATCTTTTTTTTTTTTTTCCAAAGAAACTAAAACTGTAATTCTATGCACATTTAGCAAGATCAGTCCAACTTAGAAACCTAAGTTGCCATCCAATTCTATTCTTTCAGGTCTCTATTCTGAAATTTTAAAATACAAAAAACAAAACTCTCTAAGGAATTAGAAAGCAGCAAAGACAAAAACAATTAAAAACACTCCATAGGAGAGACTCCAGGAGAGGGCCGGCAATGTGTGGCTCGGGCTTAAGCGTCCCCAGGAGCACTGGCTCCCGTCCTGACTGTTGTGCTTGCACTCTAGCTCCCTGCTAATGGGCAGAAGCGCAGCAGGACACGGCCGAGCGCTGCGATCCCTGCAGCCACATGCGAGATGCAGATGGAGTTCCGGTCTCCTGGCTGCAGCCTGGGCCAGCCCAGACTACAGCTGCAGCCATCTAGGAAGTGAACCAGCAGATGAAAATCTCTCTCCTCCTCCGTATCTCTGCCTTTCAAATAAAAGAAATGAAGTTTTAACAAAATAAATTCAGAAAGTACACATACAAAACTAAACATACAACGAGCTCCCAGGTAGAACGGGAGGCGGCTCAGTGCTGGGGCTGCTCGGGACTGACGCTCATCGTCCGGTAAATCTCCTTAAGGAACAACAAGGCAGTATCTTCAGATTCCCTGTGAACAAGAGAAGAAATGTACTTATTCAATAGACAATCAACAGAATCAGCTGCTTCGTGCAGGTGGGTGATGGGGGCAAGCAACCACTGTGTCCTCCTAAGAAGGGTGGGCAGCAGCAGCCCAGGGGAGCTCAGAGCTGTCCTCAAAACTGAATCAAGTCCGTCAGTTCTGCTTCAAGTCCAAGCCAGAGCTGGAGTGCAGCGAGTTAAGCTGCCTGTCCTAGTCCGGGCTGTCCTGCTTCTGACCCAGACCCTGCTCATGGTCTGGAAAAGCAGGGGAGGAGGACAACTGTACACATAGGAGACCTGGAAGAGGCTCCTGGCTCCTGCTCAGTCTTAGCCATTTGCAGGAGTGAATCAGCAGATGAAGGCTGACCTTTGGTGTGCACGCTCTCTCTCTCTGCTCCTTCCCTCTGTAACTCTGCCTTTCAAGTAAAGAAAATAAACCTTAAAAATAAAAACAATGGCTTTTTAAAGTCCCAGTCACTCCCATGGTGAGATGTATCCTACAAGTGTCCAACTACCAAGGTGTTTGGTCAAAGCAGGTGACATACTGCCATCTTGTGGATAACTACAGGAGCTCAAATTAGCAAATCTGTAATCAATGAGCATCTCGTACACCAGCAGTAGATGCAAGCAGGAAAAGGCCAATCAAATGTCAGAGGAGTGAGGAAAACTTACCAGTAGCATAAGTGGCTCTGGAGGGCAAAAAGATATTCATTAAAACTCTCTATTGGCTTTTCTTGAAGAACGTAATCAATCCGGCGGCCTCCGTTCAACATTCCAACTTTTCCTAAGTAGTCTTCATCTTTGGAAAAATCTGGACTTTCAACAATCTTTTCTGCTAGAATTTAAACCATTTCAATATCAAAGTCAATCACTCAACCATTATCCTTTGACTTTAGCTGACTTTCTGTGCTCAATGAGAATATTGCTTGACACACGTAGTAACCTGGGGTGCTACCAGGCTCACTCCCCAGTCCTCCAAAGAGCCAGGGGAAGAGGGGCTGGTTACCCCGGGAGAGAAGACAGAGCCAACTGCTGACACAAGTTGTGAAGGGGTGGGAGAGCATTGTAGGAAGAAAGGAAATAGAATTAGAATCTGAAAAGTCAAAAACATCACGGCACAATGACCAGACACATCCATGATGACACACTCAAGCAACAACAGGAAGGCGGCTGCTCAGAGGGACACACATGGCCCAATTCTGGCCTTAATCCTCTCAACACACCCAAAGAGGCACAGTACATAGTTCAGCGATGGGCAGACAGCAAGCCTACTAACAAGGCTGCCATGGACGCTGAAGGCATGCATCGGATGGGACGGTCTGCCAAAACAGACCTAAAGGAGCAATGCCCACCAGCTAACAAATCTTACAATGTCTAAGTGTTATGCTCACAAGGAACATTATACTGGAGAACTCTCCAGATGGCCAATTTACCTTCAACCACTTGCTTTTCTTCTTCCTCTTTGATTTGATTGGCTACCTTCTCCAGTTCTTCTTGCAGCTGAGTTGAAGAGGTATGAGCACGGGCAAACTCATTTAGTGTCTGCCAAGCACTTTTCAAAGAGCTAATAAAACCCTGCTTCAGATCAGACCCCATGCGAGAGAGACTTTCTTTCAACTCTAAAGAGATTAAGATGACACATACCAAGTTAGACACTGGGCAGAGTTTCCATCACAAGTCAAAAGCTAACATTTCTCAGGTTAAGACCTCCTCTGTAACTTTTGAGAGTGGCATGAAAACCAGTATTTACGGGTGTCCCATGTGAAGCCATAGTACATCACTATTCATCATCGTCCTACTTGCAATGTGACAACACTCTGACCTCTCCCGTCTAACTAACCCAGGACAGCAGACCAGCCCTCACCACTCCTCCCACTGCCCCCACCCTCCCTGCTCTGGCAACCACTGCTCTACCCTGACCTCCAGCGACACAGCACTTATAGATGTCCCACGCATGAGATGGCATAGCTGCCGACTGCTTCCTCTCATGCGGTGTCCCCCGCCAAGAACGTTCAAGAACATCACAGCAAATCTGACTTTACTATTTAATCATCTTTGGGGTATTTTTATTCAAAAGGCAGAATATAGATGGAAACAGATATTCTACCATCTGGTCCCCACAACAGCTGGGGCTGGGCCAGGCCAAATTCAGGTTCTGTTCAGGTCTCCCACATGATGTCAGCACCTCGAATGCTTACCCAGCACCTGCTGTCCCCCAGGTGCACACGAGCAGGACCTGGAGCAGAAACAGGGCAGCTGAGACTCAAACCAGGCTCCTTTTCAGGATGCAGGGCCCAGGCAGCAACTGAACCAAGCACCCCACAATGCTTACCTATCCCTGTCATTTTTTTTAAATGACTAAACTTCATCTAGTCAAAATGTCTAAATTCCTTCTTTCCAAAAACACAAAAGTTCAAATACCATAAGAATATAAACAGATTCATATGCTCTTTTAACTGTTAAGTGTAAAAATTGGCCCACAATTGGCCTTCATCACTTTTCTAAACTGCAATAAGGAAAAGTTTTTTAAAATTTTAAAATTCTGATACAATCACAATCTAAACTTCTAATTTAAAAATAAGGAAATGGGCCTGAAGCCGTAGTCTAGCGTCTAAAGTCCTCGCCTTGAGCGCCCCAGGATCCCATATGGGCACCGGTTCTAATCCAGGCAGCTCCACTTCCCATCCAGCTCCCTGCTTGTGGCCTGGGAAAGCAATCAAGGATGGCCCAAAGCTTTGGGACCCTGCACCCATGTGGAATACCCGGAAGAAGTTCCTGGATCCTGGCTTCAGACCGGCATAGCATCAGCCGTTGTCCTCACTTGGGGAGTGAATCATTGGACGGAAGATCTTTCTCTCTGTCTCTCCTCTCTGTATATCTGACTTTCCAATAAATAAATAAATCTTTAAAAAAAGAAAAAAGGAAATCCTACCCCATCACTTTTTTTAATCCTTAATAATCACATTTGATTCAAGCTCTTCCGAGTCATCAAACTTCTCAGCTTAACTTTTAATCAAATAAATATTCTTAAAAACATGATGTTGGCAAAACATACTTTTAAACAAGAGGGCATAACTACTTTTTCTTATCTACCCTCCATCTCCTCCACTCAATCTTTTAAGCCAAGGAATGACATATAAGGAAAATAAGCTAAAGAAAATCTAGTGTCTGGTATTATGGTTCTATAGGCTAAGCCATCCCGCATGAGGCCAGTATCCTGTGTCACTGGTTCAAGTCCCAGCTGCACCACTTCTGTCCCTGCTAATGCACCTGGGACAGCAGCAGGAGACGGCCAAGCACGTGGACCCGTGCCAGCCAACATGGAGATCCAGATGCAGCTCCAAGCTTCAGCCTGGCCCAGCACTGACTGTGGCTCCATCTGGGAGTGAATCAACAGGCTGAAGACCTCACCCTGTCTCTCCTTCTAATTCTTCCTTTTAAATAAACAGGCAAATATTTAAAAAACAAAATCTAGAGCCAACTTGCAATTATCAATACATTATGTCTAAGAGAAGTTTGGTTAGCAAGGAATTTTGAGCTCATTTGACTTAGACAATATTACATCCAATTCTTGATGGCTTGACCATTAGTTTAATGCTATTTGGCTTCCCAATTCCAAAAATTATAACCAAAACTCTACCAAAATCTAGTTATGCATCTTACTAGCAACTTCCCCATTCCCAAATATCTTAACAATTAGAATGTCATCAAAGAAAGGGAATTTAACTATTCTATAGCCATTCCAAACTCCTTGTTTAAAAAGTTCTGATGGGGCCAGCTCTGTGGCACAGCCGGTGAAAGTGCTGCTTGCAATGCTGACAGCCCACTGGGGCATGCCAGCTGGAGTCCTAGCTGCTCTGCTTCCAAAGCAGCAGTGGAGCATGGCCCAAGGACCTGGACAGAGTGCCTGGCTCCAGACTGTGTGGCCCAGCACTGGCTACTGCTGTCACTTGGGAGGGAAACAAACAGATGGAAGATTTCTCTCTCACTTTAATTTCCAAATAAACATATCTTGAGGAAAACAAAAGTTCGGAACATAGGCACTTAAGTAACATTAATTCTATCACAAAGGAGCTGGTGTTAAAATTTTCATAATCCATTATATATCCCAAAACAAAAGAAAAAAACAAGTTTTCACAATATTTTCTTTTTACCTAAATGAAGTCTTTTTCTGCCTTTGTGATGTGGAATGAGAACTGCTTTTAGGTCCAAATCTGGAACAATCATAGGTTCTAGCCTATATGCCACTGGATCAAGCTATAATAGAAGAATTTGAAATTTATGAAGGACTGTTTCATTTGTAGCTCTACGCCTTACTGGCACACTAGAAACTTTGATTTTTTTTTCATATCAAATATTGGCAATTTCATATAATACTTTCAAGTTTGTGGCTAAGAATACAGGAAAAATAATAGAATTTTCTTCTTCAACAAAGGCTTTTTTGATAGTAAACTTTATTAGCAAGTATTGGACTGTATCACTTAGGACACAAAGCCAAGCCTTACAAAATCGAGATCAATATTAATTTCAAAGAAGAATCTGAGAACGTATTAGGAGTAAAAAGACAAGTTCTTCGCCTTCTTGAGAAGAGAAAGTAAATTAGATTCAACTCACTCACCGGATGATAAATATTGAAGAACCCTTTACAAGTGGGGAGCCGGTAGTTCTCATCTATCCTGGCAACTCCTCGGATGGTGAGACACATGCCAATCGGAGAGCCCAAAGCAAAGAACAGCTCAGGCTCAAAGTCCAGTGAGCCATACACAACAGAAACCTGCAAGGCACCAAGAATCAGAAACAGCCATCCAAAGTCACATAACACAAAGTTCTTCTGAATCCGTCATGGTTCTCAGAACAGCACCTCCCACATGCAGCCCAAAGCTTGCTCCTTTGAATCTTTAAGCGACTGCAGCCTCGAACTACTTCTACTATCAAGCACAACAAGCACTGTATTCATAAAATGCTGAGTGCGAGGTTCGCCATATTCTTTTTTTTTTTAAGATTTATTTATGAAAGGCAGAGTTACAGGGACTGACGTTGTGGTGTAACACATTAAACCTCGACCTGCAATGCCGGCATCACATATGGGCAGCAGTTCAAGTCTTGGCTGTCCTACATCTGACCCAGTGACCTGCTAATGGGACTGGGAACGCAGTGGTATGGTCCACGTCTTTGCGGTCATCCATGTGGGAGACCCAGTTGGAGCTGCAGGCTCCTGGTTTCAAGCTGGCCTGGCCCTGGTCATTGCAGCCCTCTGGGGAGGGAAGCAGCGCATGAAGCTCTTCCTCTCTTGTCTCTCCTTCTCTCTGTAAACCGGTCTTTGAAATAATAAACAAATCTTTTTAAAAAATAAAAATTGGGCCCAGGGCAATGACCCAGTAGCTAAATCCTTGCCTTGCACATGCCAGGATCCCACATGGGCGCCAGTTCCTGTCCTGGTTGTTCCACTTCCCTTCCAGCTCCCTGCTTATGGTCTGGGAGAGCAGTAGAGAGAATGGCCCACAGCCTGGGCACCTGCACAGGAGACCCGGAGAAGGCTCCTGGCTTCGGATCGGCTCAGCTCCAGCCACTGAGGCCACTTGGGGAGTGAACCAGCAGACGGAAGATCCATCTGTCTCGCCTTTTCTCTGTAAATCGGCCTTTCAAATAACAAATAAAGCCTTAAAAAATAAATAAAACAGTAAATGTAGTATTGTTGTGGCTTCCCCCTTTACCTCTCCCATTCTCCCAAAAACAAACAGAAAATTTGGAAACAACAATTTCACCCACTTTTCCCTAACCTCCATCCTCCTCACCCTGATATACCATGTAATCATCCAAAAAAAAACAAAAAAAAAAAACAGAACCTGTGCTGTTGAAATAAATAAGTGAATGAATGCAGCACTATCAACTCCCACAGGCTCCTCCCCAGGGAAAGCATGCGAGGACGTGGGCACAGCAGCCGGATGCAGGCAGCACGTTCCTCTGCCGACAACGGAAGTGCATCCCAAGCCTCACTTGTAACTGCAGCATTTCCACCGGGAGGAGACTGAGCCTCGCTCCAAACACTCACGGGGGTGGAAAAAAGTTCAAAAGTTAGAAGACATTCTGTACATGATCGATCCCTCACTGTGAACACTGAGAAAAAAGCATAAACCTTTACTAAAGAAAATCAGCTTTTTTTCCACACACCTCCAAATAAATCCTAAATATCTAAAGAATTCAAAGCCAACCCAAATAAACCAGGAGGCACAAGCCCAACACAGAGCAGGCAGCCCTGGCCGACATGGAAACTCACCTGGCCGGTGCCCACCTCAAAGGCCTCATACCCAACACGCACGGAAGAGACATGAGCGCCCAGTGCCAGCTTCCTCCGGGCCTCGGGACCCTCTGAGCGGAGGGGCGCGCCAGCTTGAGCCCTCTGAGCACTCTCCTCTTGGCCTTTGGGCGAGGCAGCCAGCTGCGCCTTCTTCTCTAGCGCTGCCTTCTTCTGCTCCTGCAACCATCAAAACATAGTCAGTTCTCACGCCCTCAACATAAAGGAACGATGAGCAATTCTTAGACATAAGAACAGGACCGTGGTTACTAGAAAATAATGACTATAAAATCCTTTTCAGATATGCACATTTAGGGAAGCACTACCACAGCGTTCATCATTTAAACTTCTTTTAAGATTAAGAAACTAAGAATCCAGCAAAAGCTATAATTCAATCTAAATATGGCTGTCATTACATGAATCTCAAAATATTAAGTCACAGAAAGCAGATATGAGAGCACGAAGTGCAGGCCATCCCTCCGTGGCTCTCCAGAACCAGCTACACGTCCTGTGGTGACACAGCAGCATGGCGGGCAACTGGTGGCATCACCCAGCAAGAGCAGCAGGTGCAGCAGGTGCAGAAGAAGCTGCAGGAGCACTGGGAGCAGCAGGAGCAGCAGGAGCTGCAGGAGCTGCAGGAGCAGCAGAAGCAGCAGGAGCAGCAGGAGCAGCAGGTGCAGAAGAAGCTGCAGGAGCTGCAGGAGCAGCAGGAGCAGCGGGAGCAGCAGCTGCTGCTTCGTGTCTTGCTTCAGGTGGTGACGAGCACAGGCACACCAATGCCCAACTTAGCGCAAAGAGCTACACATTCCCGTAAATTAGCTCCAGAGGTGGGAGGACGCCAAAGGGGTCACCTCCCTAAGTGACAGGCGTCACTCACACCCTGAAGACAGCCGCCCCAAAGTCAGGGGCACAGAGACACCCTGTCCCTGCCTGGTGGGTGCCACCTCTCCCACAGGCATAGCCTCCCCAGACTCAGACGGACCATGGGACTATCTGGGCGAACAGCTACAACAGTGACTCCACAAAACAGCCAAACTGATCTTGGCTATTAATTCCAAATACTAGAAAATCAGGGAAGACTAAGTTACTAGCTCAAAAGAAAATTCCTGGCCAGCCAGCTTCTCTGGAGTGGAGCACAGTGACTTCACTCCTTCACAGGCAGGGACAGAACAAGGTTCAATCTGAAAGCCAGCAGGCCAAATGTTGCAGCAGCCCAAAGCCTTGGGTCCCTGCACCCACGTGGGAGACGCGGAAGAGCTCCTGGCTCCTGGCTTCAGATCAGCTCAGCACCATCCATTGCAGTCACTTGGGGAGTGAATCATCAGATGGAAGATCTTTCTCTCTGCCTCTCCTCCTCTCTGTATATCTGACTTTGCAACAAAAATAAATAATTCTCAAAAAAAAAAAAACCCAAGAACAGCACAATGCTGAACCTAAAAGAGATATTCAACAGAAGGTTGAATGACTCAATTCCTTAAGCCAACCATAAAAACAAAAATCAATCCTGTGACTTCACAGTCACATCTTAACATTAAAAATGACATGCAGAGTAGCACAAACAACAGAATAAGAGACGTGTGAGAGATGGAGGAACCATCCAGGACTGTGCAAACACCACTGGAAATAAGTCACTCTACGTGTCAATCTAACTTTTCTAATTAATCAGAAAAACCTCTGCAAAATGATTTTGATCAATGAAAGTACATAAAGCGTATTTTCCCAGTTTCTAATTTCCTTTTAAACACTTTTCCAGTTGCTCTTTTGGCTAAGAATTCAAGCTGGGCTGGAGTGGTAACACAGTAAGTTAATTCTCCACCTGTGGCACTGGCATCCCATACAGGGGTGTGTCAGTTCAAGTCCCGGCTGTTCCACTTCCAGTCCAGCTCCCTACTAATGTGTCTGAGAAAGCACCAGAAGATGGCCCAGGCCTTGGGCCCCTGTACTCACATGGAGGGCCGGAGAAAACTCCTGGTTCCCAGCTTCAGCCTGGCCTAGCTCTGGCCATTTGGGGAGCAAACCAGTGAATGGAGATCTGTCTTTGTCTCTCTCTCTCTCTCTCCTCTAACTCTTTCTGTAAAATAAATATATCTTTAAATGTATATATACATATATAAAACCTGTGCGACTCCCACTGAGTGGGACTTTTCACCTCCACAGCTGCAAGAACTAGAGAGCAGGTGAGCAGTGCCTCCCCTGCGGTACCTCAGGCTCACTGCAGCCTGCGAGGAAGGCAGGGGAACCAAGGCTCAACCACGGTAAGTAAACTATGCAAGAAAATGCAGCTAAAAGACAGCTGAGATGAAAAACAAGGTACTCACTTGATTGCCCAAAACTTCACTAGTTTTTGCATCAGAAAACTTTCAAATAAAGTTTATAACTAACTGGAAGTCCTCTAGTCCCAAAAACACTCAGTCCCAGGGAGGCAGGGATGCCGCCCACCTAACCTGGATGTTGGTGCAGTGTGCCTCTCCCATCTACCCCCAGGAGCCAGGAAGGGAGCACACCGGGCAACCTAACCACGGCAGTTCGAGAAATCCCTAAAACGTAAATGACCTGGCCACACAGTGAGCTCAGGGTTTTCTGGAGGGTAAAATGAACCTTACCATTTTAGCTGCTTTATGTTTTACAAAGTTGGCGATCTTCTTCCTGGGCCCGAGTGGTATCCCCATCTCCTTCAGGTCATCCACTGTACACATAAGCTTTGAAAGGAAACAAGCAGATCCATCAGTTGAGGGACAAACGGAAAGCAGAATGTCAAAATTAAAAACGTATCATTCTGGGCCTGAAGCTGTGGCCTAGCGACTAAAGTCCTAGCCTTGAACGCGCCCAGGATCCCATATGTGCACCGGTTCTAACCCTGGCAGCTCCACTTCCCGTCTAGCTCCCTGCTTGTGGAATGGGAAAGCATTCAAGGACCGCCCAAAGCCTTGGGACCCTGCACCCGTGTGGGAGACCTGGAAAGAGGTTCCTGGTACCCAGCTTCGGATTGACACAGCACCAGCTGCTGCGGTCACTTGGGGACTGAATCATCAGATGGAGGAACTTCCTCTCTCTCTCTCCTCTCTATGTATCTGAGTTTGTAATTAAAAAAAAAAATCTAAATAAATAAATAAAATAAACCTTAAAGATAAATAAATAAATAAAATATACTGTCAGACTGCCCCGACAGCACTTGTCCCAAATTGACATTCTCCTACTTATCCTACTTAGCCACAGTATCAAAACCTGCATTTCCTTCAAATTATATAGTTAAAAAAACTCAGTAAACATTTACTTTGTATTTCTCTTCCAAGATTTCTTACCGTAAGAACCCATTTGTTAATTGCCTTTTCTACAAATCTCTTTTTTTTTTTTTTTTTTTGTATACTTTGCCTGTTTACCTATTCCTTTCTGCACCTCCCAGCTCGGAACGCCAAGGAAGTCAGGCCTCAGCCTGCAACAAAGCTGCCACGGCGCCGCCCTCGCCTGCACCGGCCTTCAGCTGTTGTTTCAAATGTCTGCTACCTCTACTTTTTCTTTAAGATCTTCTGGGTTTTTTTTTACCACATTTAGAATAGCCTTCACAATCTGTAAAAACAAAAAAGCTCTGGAATTTTTGATTTTTAAGCATTTAATTTTGCCTTTGCTGGAACTGTTTTGTTGTAACAGTGTTTAAATCATTTTTAATTTTCAAATTCATACACAAGAAAAGTGGCGCGACAGCACAGTGGTTAACGTCCTCGCCTTGTACGCACTGGGATCCCATATGGGCGCTAGATCTAATCCTGGCAGCTCCACTTCCCATCCAGCTCCCTGCTTGTGGCCTGTATATCTGACTTTGCAATAAAAATAAATAAATCTTACAACAACAACAAATTAAACAATCATCAATACCAGAGACTCCATGTCAATCTTCTCCTTTTCAAAAGTGCCGACGTATTCAGAGAGGCTAAGTGCTTCCAGGGTCTCCTGCAAAGTCTGGACGGCTTCATTGTCAACGTCAAGATCACATGACTCATCCAAGGTTGGTTTTGGTTCTTCAGTCATCTTGAAAAAAAAAGAAAGAAAAAGAAAAAACAGGGAAACATCACAAATCTCAACAAAACTTCCATGAAACACCTCAGAAAGCCTAAACAATTCTGTTCTATAGAAAAAGTGCAAAGACAGAACATTCAGAAACATTTTTAACACAGCATTAATGTTCTCATTTTCCATAATAACTTCTATCTTCAAACACTATAAGCCTGCACACTTACATTCACAACTTGCAAGGAAGGAGAGTGGGAAGCTCAACGTATCTGCAAGAGCCCCAGCAGCGCAAGCCAAGCAGCTAAATTTGGGGAAACTGGCCCGTGTGAGCGCTGCCTGTGAACGCTACCTGGGCCGTGTGCACACGTACCTGCTTTTCCTGAAAAGGTGGCTGCTTCACAACTCCATTAGCAACAGCCAGAGGCCCAGGAGACTTTGATGGCTGCAAATCCTTCTGATTGGACAGGATGTCAAACAATATTAAAGAACCTAGGAAAAAAATGGTTCTTGCTTTATCATGTAGCAGGTGGTTTTATAAAGCAAAGACTCACTACAGATCATGCTGAATACATGTATTACCTAAGCTGTGACCAGCAACAGAGACCCCTCCTTTGAAGTCTGGATTCCGACTCATAAAGAGAGCATGGAGTCGGTTTATCTCCATTCCCACCTTCTCCACAATGAGCTGACAGTAGGCGGGACTGTTATAAAACAGAATATCCAGCAACGTTTCATTGGTAAAATGACGAAATCGACCAATACTTGGTAAAGTGATTTTTTTAACATTCCTGTTAAAAAAGAAAAAGCACATTCAGTAAAAATCACCATTATTTCCATGAATTTTTTAAGACTTGCATTTTGATTCCTCCGTTTTAAAGAAAAAGCCCACACACTAATTACGAGTTGAATCTATCTGGCAAAATTACTGTAAATAAATCTGAGTCAGCTGACAAGTGATTTGAACTTGGGCTAGTTCTTTGGCACTGTGGGTAAAGCAGCTGCTTCAGATGCCAGCATCCCACCTCGAGGCTGGTTCAGGTCCCAGAGGTTCCACTTCTGACCCAACGTCCTGCTAATGTGCCTGAAAAAGCAGCCAAGATCTATTGCGGCCATTTGGGGAGTGAACCAGTGGATGGAAGATCTCTCTCATTCTCACTTGTTCTCTCTCTCCTTAACTCTGCTTTAAAAGTGAGTAAAATCTGGGCCCGGAGCGGTAATCTAGCAACTAAAGTCCTTGCGCCTTGCATGTGCACCCACATGGGAGACTTGGACGAAGTTCCTGGATCCTGGCTTTGGATTGCTTCAGCTCCAGCCACTGCACTCACTTAGGGAGTGAATCCATCAGATGGATGATCTTCCTGTCTCTCCTCCACTCGGTATATCTGACTTTCCAACAAAAATAAATAAATCTTATAAAAAATATTTGAACTTGTAACCATGACTTTTGGAATTCTCCTCAAAGATTTTGGCAGTACTTTTTTTTTCCTGGAAGGCAGAGTTAGAGAAGGACAGATCTTTCATCCTACAGCTCACCTGCCTAATGACCACAAAAGCCCATGATGGGGCTGAGCCAACCTGACACACACAGGAGACACTGGTGCTGCAAGCAGTGGTTGACCAGCTGCACAACATCCCCTTTAACTTCATTTTTAAAGAGGAAAAACCTAGTCTTCCATTTTTCTTCCAATTAATTGGAAATCTGGATATTTGACAAAAACTATGGATGGAACTGATAAGAAATGCTACATAGAAGAAGGTATTATAAGGAATTAAAGCCTGTCATGTTAAGAGAATGAGCAAAGTCAAGTTCTTGAACATACCAGAGAGAAAACACCCATATGATGGCCTACGATCCACAGCATGCTGTTTGTATTAAATCATATGCCTGTAACATTGTAATGTTCACTAAAATTCAGCCAGGTTAATAGCCCTGTCTGCCAGCACAAGTATCACCAGTATCTGTGGTTCCCAACCGGGAGTGTGTGGGCAGGCTGGGGTGATTCCAGGAGCCAGTGTCCGGCATGAATCCCAACAACATCCCGACTGAGGATGCTAATGGTCTTCAATGCAGCAAAAGGTTGGTGCTATGCTGCTGTCCTCCAAGAACATCTTGGGAAAGGGGTCTCCACGAGGTGCAATCTAACCCCCAGGACACATCTAGCCCTTTCTGCGGCAGCCTGTTATCACGTGGTGAGGGAGAGGCGTGCTGCTGACAGATGGGGTGGCCAGGGCTGCTGCTAAGCAGGCTGCAGTGCATGCCACTGCCTGTCTAAGCCACAACAGATCAGGACAGAAGGTACAACTAGTTGACACTGTTTATAGCCTCTTTAATATTCTGCTTTTAAAGATTATTTTTTGAATTGGAAAGGCAGATTTACAAAGAGAAACAAAAACATCTTCCATCTGCTGGTTTGCTCCCCCAGATGGTCAAAACAACCAGAGCACAGCCGATCTGGAGCCAGGAGCTTCTTCGAGGTCTCCCATGTGGGTGCAGGGTGCCAAGGCTTTGGGCTGTCCTCTACTGCTTTTCCAGACCATAAGCAGGGAGTAGATGGGAAGTAGAGTGGCCAGGACATGAACTGGCACCCCTATGGGATGCTGGCACTTGCTGGCAGAGGATTAGCCAGCTAAGCCATCACCCAGGACTCACAAGAACACACACACATGAAGAAGGCAGCATGAAAACATTACTGTCAGCATGTAACCATGTGTCAGCGAAGGGAACTGCAGAAAAGAAACGCTGTAACACCACATTACAATTTAAGTTCTGAATCTACATTTGACTGAAGAAAAACAAGTCATTAAAACCCACAGACCTGTCAACCCCTGTGGCATCCCCGCCCAAGGAGCTGTGCCAGGGAACAGGAAGGAACTCCACTCGGCTCACTCTCCCTTCATCTACAGCTTTCTTGAAATGTGTCTGCAGCAGCTTGAGAGAAACCACCCTGAAATCATCCACTGCAAAGAAAACACCAAGGCAGAAAAGTCAGCTGGATGAAACTGTCCTGCGCCGACAGCTAGCGAGCATGACCTCAAACACGCCAGGAACTTTAAAAATACCCAAAGACTGATTGGTGAGAGTTAGCTGATTCAATAGATGTAACATACTTTTTGAATTCCAAATATTCACTCAATATGAATTATTATTACACAGACATCAAAATAAAACTTCAGGGGTTGGCACTGTGGTGTAGCACATTAAGCTGCCACCTGCAGAGTCAGCTTCCCATGTAAGTATAGGTTCAAGTCCCAGTTGCTCCACTTCTAATCCAGCTCCTTGCCAATGCATCTGGGAAAGCAGCAGCAGATGGCCCAAGTGCTTGGGCCCCTGCCATCCATGTGGAGATCTGGGTGGAGTTTCAGGTTCCAGCCATGACAGCCATCTGAGGAGTCAAGCAGTATACGAAGACATAGGTCTCTGCCTATCTCTCACACTCTCTATATTATTCTGCTTTTCAAATATATGAATAAGTCTTAAAAAAAAAAAAAAAAAAAGCAGGCCCAGCACAGTATCCTAGTGGCCAAAGTCCTCACTTTGCATGCATCCAAATCCCATATGGGCACTGGTTCCTATGCTGGCTGCTCCACTTCCCATCAACTCCCTGCCTGTGGCCTGGGAAAGCAGTCAAGGATGGCCCAAAGCCTTGAGACCTTGCACCCTGTGGGAGACCCAGAGAAGGCTCCTGGTTCCTGGCTTCAGAGCAGCTCATCTCCGGCCACTGAGGCTACTTGGGGAGTGAACCAGCAGATGGAAGACCTTTCTGTCTCCTCTCTGTAAATCTGACTTTCCAATAAAAATAAATAGATCTTTAAAAATAAATAAATAACAGGAATGAAGGACACCAAAAACAAAAATCAATAAAATTTAGAAGATGCTAGGTCAAGCAACAGTTGGCTCACAGCTCACGGAAGCACCTCTCACGCCCCACTCTCCCACCCGCACAGAGCTCGTGCTGCTGGAAGCACTCGGGCAGGGACCAACCGTCAGAAAGGGGCGGCTGCTTCCCAGGCCTTTATGCTTCGAGTTGTGTATGTCATCCGAGCAAAGCAAATTTAAATTAATACTTCCCACTCATCATTTAAATCTCTCGCAGCACCTCTGCCAGCAGGACACAGCCAGCAGTGATCTTAAAAATGACTACTTCACAGCTATACTTTCAGTTTCCAGATGGTTCTGTGAAATGAAGGATGACTGACACTTACCACACTCAATAATGCTTCTAAAACGCAAGTCACACACTGGCCCGACACCGTGCACCACGAACACCAAATGGTCAACCTGAGGCAGCTCCCCTAGGTGCCAAGAGAAAAAACGCACAGAGAGCTCTCTTAATCACAAAACAGTGTTCTGCATACCCCCTCTGCCATCAGAAACTCGTCAAAGAAACTCTTGACTCTTCCAAGCAAATGAGCTCCTGACCCTCTACCAAGACAAAGTGAACTAGACCAGGAGCAGGGCAAGCAGGCTCTCCCTGTTCCCAGCAGCCCTCAGCACGTGACGGCCAGTGGGTCTGTGCCTGCAGAGGCTTCCCAGTGTGGTGGCTGCTCCGCAGCACCTTAGGGTGCATAATCTGCCAAGAAAAATCTCCAAAATCCTTTCCCCAAACCCGTCCTCTGGACGTGTTAGAGTCACAATATGAACATTTTTCTTCTCCATTCAGACTTAATGAAAACTTACTTTATAGCTTTTTAAATAAGAAAATGAAACAAACACAAAGAATAAGTAATCATCAAAATAAAATCTAATCTTGAATACTGTGATCAGGAAACAAAAAGCACATGCATTAGAATGGGGTTGGCAAACTGGCCCAGAAGCCACACTGTGCCCTTCCCTGTCTTGTACTGGAACAGATGCATCCCCTGAGCCACCTAGTCTCTACAGAGGCTCTCCCACGGCAGTGGCAACAGAACCCATAAGCCTGCTCAGCCAAAATACTTCCTATCTGGCTCTGACAGAGAAGTGTGCCAGCCCAACACTAGAATAATGCCAACCAGTGAGGCATGACAACACCAGCCTACGTACTGCCAAAGGTTTAGCTCCAACCACAACACATATGCTAGGAGCTGCTCTTAGTGGTTTGTGCATCTTCAACAGAATTCTAGATTTAAAAATAAAGGTAGAAAAGTAACAATATTAAAAAGAGCGATACAGGCCCGACTGGCTCCTTTCTGCACACGGGGCAGGTGACGCTGGTAACCACTTATCTCTTAATCACTCCAAAGCCTGACACCCCAACACAGAAGACAAAACAAAACTTGCACCCTAAACAAGCCATACGTACCATCAGGAACTTCATCAAGGCTATCATCAATGCCACGCTTCACAACCCTGGGCCTCGTCTGTCCATCTTGTGTGGTCCCCCATTCATCAGGTACTGAGGACGGCTGGAACTGAACAATGACCTTTAAGACACAAACACAGACAGAGCTCATTGCCAACTATGTTCCACAGCAGACTAAACAACTCATTCATCATGTGGTATGCTACACATGGATAGATTAGAAAACAAATATTACTACAGCTCCCATAAGCCACTTTTCTAAGAGTCCTAGTTCATGCTCATTAACCATCAAAACAAGTGAATCAACACCACCATTTCCAATACTTACGTTAAAAAAGCATACCTCTTCAGTACACCTCGATTTAAAGATCTACCATGGGGTCAACATTTGGCCTAGTGCTCAAGATAGCACCCCACAGCACCATGTCCACATTCCAGGCCCTGTCCACTCCCACTGCGCTTCCCCGTGAATGTGCACCCTATGAGGCAGGAGCCACAATGGTGCAGGAACCTGGGTGCTGCACTCACTGGGAGATCTAGACTCAGTTTCAGGCTCTCAGTTTCTACTTAGCCGCAAACATCTGCAGGGTGAACAGCAAACAGGAACTCTGTCTCTTTCTCTCTCTTCTCAAATAAATATTTAAAAAGCAAATCTTGGGAAGATCACAGTGGCACAGCCAGTTAAGGCTCTGCCCACACTACCGAAATCAATATGGATACCAGTTCAAGTTCCACCTGCTCCATTTCCAATCCAGCTCCCTGCTAATATGCCTGGGAAAAGAGCAAAAAATGGCACAACTGTTTGGGTCCCTGCACTCCGTGGGAGATCTGGAATAAGCCTGGGCTCCTAGCTTTGGCCTGGTCCAGTCCTGACTGTTGTGTCCACTTGAGAGATGAAGCAATGGATGGAAAATCAATTGATATCTCTGCCTATTTCCTTCTCTACCTCCTCCTCCATCTGCCTCTGTCCTTCAAATAAATAAAAATAAGTCTTTCAAAAATATCTAGAGGTCAGTGAACCAGCGGCTGGAAGATCTTTCTGTCTCTGCAAATCAGCCTTTTCAATAAAAAAAAATAATTCTGCGCCCAGCACAGTAGCCTAGTGGCTAAAGTCCTCTCGGTGCATGTGCCAGGATCCCATATGGGAACTAGTTCAGATGTTTCCCATCCAGCTCCCTGCCTGTGGCCTGGGAAAGCAGTAGAGGACGGCCCAAAGCCTTGGGTCCCTGCACCCGCATGGGAGACCTGGAAGAAGCTCCTAGCTTCAGATCACTTTAGCTCTGGCCGTAGCGGCTGCTTGGGGAGTGAACCAGCAGATGGGAGATCTTTCTCTCTGTAGCTCCTTCTCTCTGTAAATCTGCCTTTCCAATAAAAATTTTAAAATAAACCTTTAAAATAAAAAAGGACCTATTTTTATTTGAAAGGTTAAAACAAACCATCATCAAGGACAGGCAGGCGATCCGTGGCTCTACAATCAACAGGACAGATCTCTGTCACACTGAGACGAGGCGTGGGCGATCACACACACTGGCCAGCGCAGCAGCTCAACTAGCTAAGACCCTGCCTTACAACGCCAACATCCCAGACGGACACCGATCACATCCCAGCTACACCACATCACAGCCAGCTCCCTGCTCGTGACACGGGAAAGCAGTGGAGGACGGCCCAAAGCCTTGGGACCCTGCACCCATGTGGGAGACCCGGAAGAAGCGCCAGGCCCCTGGCTTCAAATCAGCTCAGCTCCAGCCACTGTGGCCATCTGGGGAGTGAAACAGCAGGTAGAAGATCTTGTCTCTCCTTCTCTCTGTAAATCAGCCTATCCAATAAACAAATATATCTTTGAAAAAGAAAATGACAGCCATGACAAACATGTCATATCACCTGTCACATGTCTTACAAATAAAGATTTATAGAAAACACCAAAAAAAAAAAAAAAGAAAGAAAGAAAACATCACATCCATGGGTTGATGTGTCTCTACAATGGTAGAGAACAGTAGAGTTGGTAGTTGCAACAGAGACCAAACATTCATCACTTGGCCCCTTAGCTGCAAAGGTGGCCAGTCTCTGACCATCAGAAATAATCCATCAAGCCTCTTCTGTGGTGCATACCAAGCTTCCGTTAAGAAGTTAACATATACCAAGGCTTAAAGAGAAAATTTTAAATTATATAACTAATTTAAATATTTATTTTTTTTAATTTATCAATAAATAGAACAGAGCTGACATATTTCACAGATAAAATTCAAATTACTTTAAAAGCAAGTTACTAAAAATGAGTATCTAGCAATATATCACTGTAATATACTGAGCACTTTAAAACAACACCATTACCTTCGGGTTGTGCATGACAATGGTCTCCCCACCCGGAAACTCCAACCTGCGATGCCACTGATTCGTGGTTACAGCTTTTTTATATTCAGCCTACAGTAATGGAAACAACAATCCAACATTACACATCTGTATTACATTGAAAGTATGGAAGAAAATGGTTACTACGACAATGACAAAAACAAGAATATACAGCCGCGCTCATTTACTGGCCAGTGATCTTGGGTTTTTAAAATCACTTTATACTTAAGTAGTTACTCTGTCATTTCTGAATAATATTATTCCCATCATACAGAAATGTTCAGTTTCTCAGATTCAGCACAACAAAGTGCCACAAACTGGGGGGCTCACAGAAACTCACTGTCCTGGACTTCTGGAGGCCACACGTCTGGAATGCACATGTCAGCCACACATGGCCTCCCCAAGACCGGCAGGAAGCTCGTGCTGGCCTCATCGTAGCACTGATGGTTGCCAGCAATTTCCAGCACTCCTGGGCTTGCAGCATAACCCACACCTGCCTTCATCATCACCTGCCATTCTGCCTGTGTATCTCTGTCTCTTTCTCTCCTCTTCTCCTTACAAAGACACCAAATCCAAATAGATTGCACAAAGATCCAGTCCAACCTCATTATAGCTATGTCATATCTGCAGGGACCCCATTTCCAAAAGAAAAAATCAGAAGTTAATACTTCAATATGCCAATCTTGGGTGAAGGGGTGAGCAGGACACAATTTAACCCATAACATTTTTTTGAGTGCTGTCCACGCATCATTACTCAGCTGTGAGGACAAACAGCAGAAATGTGGTCCACTCCCACCCAGGGCTTTCTGAGTCCACGACCTTGACTATCCAGTGCTTTTCCTGCTCTCCCCCACATGTACATTGTGTTTTCTGTAAAGCAGCAGGCTGAGGGCCAGCTGGGGAGAGACCCAACAAGAAGGCAGGCACAACTCAGACAGGAACTAGTCTTTTACATACTTATTTTCTTATTTGGCAAGTATAAATTGTTAGTCATTATTGAATTAGTTACAGTGATCATCTGACAATCACATCAAAATACCAGTCTTTTTTTTGTTTGTTTGTAATATTTTATTTATTTATTGGAAAGTCAGATATACAGAGAGGAGGAGAGACAGGAAGATCTTCCGTCCGATGATTCACTCCCCAAGTGAGTGCAACGGCCGATGCTATGCCGATCCGAAGCCAGGAGCCAGGAACTTCTTCTGGGTATCCTGCACAGGTACAGGGTCCCAAGGCTTTGGGCCGTCCTCGACTACTTTTCCAGGCCACAAGCAGGGAGCTGGATGGGAAGTGGAGCTGCCAGGATTAGAACCGGCGCCCATATGGGATCTCGGGGTGTTCAAGGCAAGGACTTTAGCCGCTAGGCCACGCCACTGGGCCTAATACCAGTCTTTTTTCTACTGTCTTGAGCAACCATTCAATAACAGCTGTCAAGAGCTGACCAATGAGTTAAGCCACCACCTAATGCCAGCATCCCAGACGTGATCCAGCTCCCTGACAGTGCTCCTGGGAAGGCAGCAGATGGCCCACGTGCTTGGGCCTCTGCCACTCACAGGGAAGCAGAACGCAGCTCCAGATTCATGGCTCGTCCTTGAACCAGTCTCAGCCACTGTGGCCATCTGGAAGCATACAAGTGCATGCAAGACTCTCCTTCTCTGTTACTATGTATTTCAAGTAAATACATTTTGGGGGGAAAAAAAAGTATTTCTGGGGCTGGTATTATGGCATAGCAGACAAACACTAGCATTCCAAATAGGTACCAGTCCTGGTTGCTCTACTTCCAATCCAGCTCCCTGTTAATCTCCCTGGAAAACCAGTAAAAGATGGGCCAAGTCCTTGGGTCCCTGAACCCACGTGAGAGACCAAAAGAAGCTCCTGGCTCCTGGATTTAGCCTGGTCCAGTGCAGACTGCCATGGTCTTTTGGGGAACAAAAAAGTAGATGAAAGATCTCTCCTCTTCTCACTCTTTCTGTCACTCTGCCATTCCAATGAATACATAAACCTCTTTCAGAAAATTCAGATTTCTCTTATTTCTACTAGCTATTCCTCAAGAAAAATAAAATCAAGAATTAACAGTGATACCCAAACGGTCAGCTTCTACACAAATACAAAGCCTAGTCCCTTTTACAGGCACAAAATACAAACCCAAGGAGGACTGACGTTTTAGAGAGCATTCGGCACAATGACACCCACACCGGGGTCCCTGGGTCGGGGTCCTGCTCACATGTGCCTTCACGGGTGTGGCTCTCTGCCACCCTCACAGACCCTGGCCCTGGCCCACCCCCAGCCGTGGGCATCTGGGAAGTGACCAGCAGGTGAAAGTTATATTTGTCTATCTCTGTGACTCTGCCGTTCAACAAAATAAAGTTGGTAAGTCAATGATTAAAAAAAAAATTAGAGACCTCTTTTAATGTTGATGACACATTTCATTTATTCAAGTTTTAAGAACTAGCACACTAAAAAAAAAGGCAGGGGCCTCAACTGGCTGATGCTCCACCTCAAACACAGCCCCCTGTATGAATGCCAGCTCATGTCCCGGCTGCCCCACATCCCAACTCCCTGCTTGTGGCCTGGAAAATCACCAGAGGATGACCCAGAGCCTGGGGACCCTGCACCCATACGGGAGACACAGAAGAAACTCCTGGCTCCTGGCTTTGGATAAGCTCAGCTCTGGTCACTGTGGCCATTTGGGGAGTGACCCAGTAGATGGAAGATCTTTCTGTCTCTCTCTGAAAATTTGTTTCAAATATTTAACTATTAAGAACAGCACAAGAAATTAACACATTTATATAAAAGAACATTTATATATCTTGAACATCAGATTCAAGATGCTATTACATTCCATGACAGTTCTTCCTGTTCTTGTGAGTTTTCACAAACCAGAGACTAATCTTTTCCAAAGCGTGAATTCATACAGGTCAGTGCAATTGGCCTGTTGCTGGACAAGCCCTAGCAGCCTTGGTCCTGACACAAGCAGGTGCCTACCACTGGTGGTAGGCCACTGGGAAGCGACCCTCTGTGCCAACAGCCAGCTGCCCTGGGAGTGGCATCAGGTGTGTAAGGCTTAGGTTTTCCAAAGGGAAAGATCCAGAAGAGAGCACGCGTACCTCTAGTTTCTCACTGAAGTCCTCAGTGTAAGGAATGAATCTGCTGTCAGTGTCACCCTTGTAAAACCACGTGCAGCGGCGCACTTCAGCCGGCTCCTCCTCCCAGTACACGGCTCTCCGCACGCGCTCATAGAGGTAAACATCGTAGCGCCCGCCGTCTGTGCCCAGGACCACGCTCTCTGGATCCGGCTGAACTAGAAAACAAAGTCCACACGGTACCTCAGTGTCACCAGGCAAGCCTAAAAAATCATAAACAGTAAACACAGCAGCAAGTCCAGCCTGAACAACAAATAGGCTCATTTTCACCATAAAATACAAGTTTATGACTTCAAAATGACCCTTTTAGATGGAAATGACCAGCGTAAAACATCATCATAGTGGGCTGGCACAATGGCTCAACAAACTAATCCTCCACCTGTAAGTGCCGGCTCCCATTTTGGCACTGGTTCAAGTCCCAGTTGCCTCACTTCCCATCCAGGTCCCTGCTTAAGTCTGGGAAATCAGGAAAGTGTGACTCCAGTTCTTGGGCCCTGCACCCTCAAGGGAGACCCAAAAAAATCTCCTGATTCCTGGCTTCGGATCGGCTCAGCTCCAGCTCGTGCAGCCATTTGGGGACTGAACCAGCAGATGGAAGACCTTTCTCTATGTCCCTCCTTCCCTCTGTAAAACTGCCTTTCCAACAAAAATAAACCTTTAAAGAAAAAAAATCATAAAAATAAATAACATTAAAAAACGTGATCATAAAGTAGCTTCGCATAAACTGATAAAGTAATTCAAACAACTGGGACTCAGGAAGGTCTTCTGGATTTTCAGTCAAAGCAGAAATGCCGACCGACACGAAGGCTCTCTGAAGTTCGTCGCTAAATGCCACCAGTGCCAGGGACTTTACTCCCAGGAGCAAAGAACACCAGGCTGAGGCAAGGCCTCGCCCCGCCGCAGGATGTCAACGTGACACTTCGTACACTGCGCACCTCCGGGAGGGGCCCTGGGAAGCGGGTCATCAGTGCCCCCCAACCACAGGCAAGGAGAGGCCAGGGGAACTGAACCCCGCATGCAGTGAACTAATGCACTTCTCACATTTAAAACACTCTTACCAACAGAATGAAATTACAGAAACATTTCTTCAAATACTTTGCTCAGATACCTCCATATCTGTCCCACCAACATAAGATACAGCGTCTGGGGAAGCCTGGGATGGCTACGGAATCTGGCATTCATGGAAAGCACGACTTGATGAGCTCGCCTCGCCGCCCTCCTTCCTGAACCCATGCTCAGTGCTCACCTGAATTGTAGATTTCCTCAAGGTTCATCGAGTCCAACACACTGAAAGGCATCCACAGCTGTCTGTGTTCCACCTCCTTGCAGTAGAACCAGTGGGGCTGCACAGGCTCATACTGGTTCTGAAGCGCAAGAGGCGGTGGCCCTGGCACAGGGGGACCCGCAGGCCTGGCATGCGCCTGCTGCTGTAGCTGTGCTGGTGACACCACGGGAGGCACCTGCAGAGGACAACACGGTGAAGCGAGAACAACTGTGCATGCGAAGACGCAGACCTACACCTGAGTGCTCACTACCCCACACACTGCTCCAGATGCTAAAGGTATTTTTAGGTATTTATTTGACAGGCAGTGAGAGAAGCGACAAGAAGGGACCCACAGAGAGCGTCCACCCACCAATTCACTTTCCAAATGGCTGCAAAAGCCAGGGCTGAGCAAGCCCAGGTCAGAGCCCAGAACACCATCCAGGTTCCCACATGGACCACAGGGGCCAAAGCACATGGGATCCCGGCACTTGCAAGGTGAGGACTTGAGCCACTAGAGTATTGTGCCAGGCCCTAAACAGACATTTTAAAAGGAAAAAGAAACACACAGGAGCCATGGTCCACCAGACTAAGCTGTTGTTTATAACGCCAGCAACCTGTAGCAGGAGTCCCAGCTGCTTCACTTCCGACCCAGTCCCTGCAAGTGAAAAGCACTGGAAGATGACTCAAGTCCCCGGTGCCTGAGCCCACGTGAGAGGTCAGGATGGGACTCCAGGATCCCAGCCTTGCTCGGCCCAGTCGATTAATGAGAGGTCAGGATGGGACTCCAGGCTCCCAGCCTCCGCCTTGCTCAGCACAGGGCAATTAATGAGAGGTCAGGATGGGACTCCAGGCTCCCGGCCTTCGCCTTGCTCAGCCCAGGGCGATTAGTGAGCGGACAGAAGTGCTCTCTCCCACTCTTTTTCTCTTCCTTTCACATAAATAAATATTTTTTTATTTATCTATTTATTTCTAAGATTTATTTATTTTTGGGTCCAGTGCCGTGGCCTAGTGAACATGCTGGGATCCTACACGGGCGTCAGTTCTAATCCCGGCAGCTCCACTTCCCATCCAGCTCCCTGCTTGTGGCCTGGGAGAGCAGTCGAGGACAGCCCAAAGCCTTGGGACCCTGCACCCACGTGGGAGACCCCGAGGGAGGCTCCTGGCTCCTGGCTTCTGGCTTCGCATCAACGCAGCACTGGCCGTTGCGTTCACTTGGGGAGTGAATAATTGATGGAAGATCTTCCTCTCTGTCTCTCCTCCTCTGTGTATAAGTGACTCTGCAATAAAAATAAATAAATCTTTAAAAAAAATTTATTTATTTTTATGGAAGAGTCAGATGCTTTACAGGGAGGAAAGACAGAGCGAAACATCTTCCATCTGCTGGTTCACTCCCCAAGTGTCTGCAACAACCAGAGCTGAGCCACTCCAAAGCCAAGAGCCAGGAGTTTCCCCCAGGTCTCCCATGCAGCTGCAGGGTCCCAAGGCTTTGGGTCGTCCTCGACTGCTCTCCCAGGCCACAAGCAGGGAGCTGGAGGGGAAGTGGAGCAGTCAGGATACGAACCAGTGCCCATATGAGATCCCAGTGCATACAAGGCAAGGACTATAACCACAAGGCTACCATGCCGAGCCCGAAACAAATCTTTTTTAAAAAAACACATAGGAAAATACTTACGAATACTTACTAAAAACACTGCCCCGAAAAGGCATAAACTCAGAGGAAGAAAGAAGGTAAGGAGGCAGGGGGAAGGAGAGCAGACAGGGAAGGGCTCGCACACCTGAGCACACACACACAAAACACCAGACTGGGGCCTGGCACAGTAGCCTCGAGGTTAAAAGTGCTCGCCTTGCATGCGCCCGGATCCCACATGGGTGCCGGGTACTCATGGCTCCCAGCTGGAGCCAGGCCACCCTGACCAGTGTGGGCACCAGAGTGGGCCACAAGGTGGGAAATCTGACTCTCGCCACCTTTCTACCTTTCAAATAAACAGACACACTCTCTGTCAGCCTGTTAAGACAGCAACTCTTTCAACTCCTCTCATGTCTCTAAGTGACTTATTTTTAAAAGATGTATTAATTAGAAGCAGCACCATGGCGGTGCCAACATCCCATACGAGCACTGGTTCAAGTCCCAGCTGCTCCACTTCTGATCCAGCTCCCTGAATAGCAGAAGATGGTCCACGTGGAGGCCTCAAGCACCCACGTGAGACTTCAAAGAACTTGCAGGTTCCTGGCTGTGGACTGGCCCAGCTCTGGCCCCGGGGCCATCTGGGGAGCAGATATGTGGAAGCTCTCTCTCTCTGCATCTCCTCTGTTAATCTTTAAAATAAAAATAAGTATTTTTTTAATCTTTAAATAAATGTTATTTATTTATTTAGAAATTAGTGAGAGAGAGAGAGAGCGCAAGACAGGATCTTCCATCCTCTGGTTCACTCCCCAAACGACCACAACAGCCAGGGCCAGGCCAGTGCACAGCCCGGACGTTCAGCAGCTCTCCCACATGGATGCCAGGTTCCAAGCACTGGGCCATCCTCCACTGCTTCCCCAGGCACAATCGCCAGGAACTGAATCCAAAGCACAGCAGCAGGGCCCTGAAGTGGCCGTCCATGTTCAATGCCAGGCCTCCTACAGGACATTTATCTTCACACTAAAGTCTGGAAAAGCCGGCAGGAGCTGACTCACAAGAAACCACTATGACTTCAGTAAACAAGAAAACAAACTAAAATAACTGCCCTGAAAGCTATGTTGAATTCAAGCAAGGAGCTTTCAGAGAAGGCCACCTTCAAACACAGGCTAAGGCAAGACAAGACAAGCGGCGCCCACAGCGGCGGGCCTACCTGCGGGGGTGGCAGGGACTCCGGAGGCCCCGGGTACTGCACGGGCACGGGCGGCGTGGCCGGCGGCGGGCCCTGCTGCAGCTGCGGCGGCGTGATGTAAGGGTTGGCCCGGCTGCTGAGCGGGGTGTGGCGGTAAGGGTTGTACCCCTGTGGAGGGGTCCCCTGTGGGGGGCTCCCAAAAGTGCAAGGAGGCAGAGTGCTGGGCTGAGAAGGCAGGTAAGCGTTCCCTGCCATCTGAGCGGGGGGCGGAGCGCCGTACTGAGCCTTGGGAGCAGAGGGTGGAAAGGCGTTCAGCGCGTCCTGGGCTCCAGGTGGGAGCGGGAGCGAGGCCGGGGACTTGGAGAAGGCCGAGAGCCCCGTCGGCGCGGCGGCCGTGCTCAACGGGGACTGCCCGATGCTCCCGAAGGGATCACTGCTCGACACCTGGGAGAAGTAACTGAACGTCTGCGGGGGAGACGTGTGCACAGAAGTCTGGCCAAGGAAGCTGTCCTCCTCGCCAACGTCCGTGGAATCCTCTGAAACAGAAGAGGAGAGCGAAGGTGTTACGGCAGGGTGTTTTGTCTCTGCACCATCGGCGCTCCAACTTACCTCTCTCTTCCCGGGAACAATAACTATGCTTTCCTTTGCAATTAAAAACTGGAAACTAGGAATAAAAAAAAAATACAAGCACAGAACCATTATAATTCACTCCTAAACCCACCATGGACAGTCACTGCTAACACTCTAACACACTGGAACCTACCCACAGACATTTTAAATAACTATCAACAGTTGTAAACATGGATTTTAAAAAATCATTATTGAAAGACAAAGTTGGGATGGAGAGGAGACAGAGCTCCCAGGAACTGCCTTACTCCCCAAATGGTCACACAGCCAGGACGAAACAGGGAGCCTGGCAGTCCATCTGGGTCCCGGACACGGCTGGCAGGGGACCACGCCCTGGGCCATCCTCTGCTGCCTTCCCTGGCACACTATGGGAGCAGGGTCGGAAAGGAGGCAGCTGTGGCTGGACCAACGGGCAGCAGCATTAACTGGTTCCGTCATGGCAACCCCATGAACACAAGCTTACATCTTATGGTTTCAGGGGCCTGAGAACCATACTGGAGTGCTTGGGTTCAATTCCCAGGTCCAGTTCTTGTTGCCAGCTTCCTGCTGAAGGAGACCCTGGGAGGCCCACGTGACCGGGCTTCTGGCCACCCACCTGCGAGACCTGGAATGAGCTCCAGGGTCCCCAGTGCCAGCTGGGGGCCATGGTGAGTAGCTGGGCAGTGAACCAGTAGATGGAAGACCTCTCTCTCTCTCTCTCTCTCTGCCTTTCAAATAACAATCCCCCCCAAAAAAGTGGAAAATTTTTCCTTAAAGAAATGTAGCTAGCATTGGCTGAGACATTATATATTTAAAAAAATCACTCCATCATTAAAACACAAATAATTTCATTTATACAGTCATGACCAGATCAAATATTATTTGACTTAATATTATGAACCAATATTATCAAATATTAACTCTGCTGACAAGAAAGGGAGTGTCAGGACCCTCACCGACAAAGCACTTACTGTCCACGTGGCCCGGGGCTGTCTGCTCTCCCAGGGAAGCAGGTGGGCCACTCAGAGCCATCCCTGAGATCAGGCGGTACCACCAGCATGGTACCTGGTACCTGCCTAGCACCGAGTGACCAAACAAGGTCGGCATTTCCTTCCCCAGCTTGATCCTTACTCAGGTATTAACTCCAAGCAACTTCTCATCTGTTTGTTCCTACGGCATTTTCCTTTTTCATGACCTTCCGAGTCCATCCTATACTCCCTTACCTCCTAGGAGCCCTCGGCTCCTCTCACCTCACTCCCTCTGATGTGGAGTGCACCAGGGCGGTGACCCGCTCCCAGCACACAGGCCCGCTACGGTGGCTGCCCGGGGACAAAGCCTGAGGGCGGCTCTCAGAGGACACATCAGAGATGTGGCCTTGAACATCTAGATGGCTCCATCAGCTATCACATTCATTAATTTAAGCTCTGCCACTACATGTTTGGGCCACAATCCTGAAAGACATAAATCCCAGATTTTCAAAATCCAGGACAATAAAATTTCTAAAGTCTGAAACCCCAAAGGAGATAAATCCTGAAAACATAATTCTGGGGGGAAAAATTATTTTAAAAGGGCCCAGCGTGGTAGCCTAGTGGCTAAAGTCTTCGCCTTGCAAGCACCGGGACCCCCTATGGATGCCAGTTCATATCCAGGTGCTCTGCTTCCCATCTAGCTCCCTGTCTGTGGCCTGGGAAATCAGTCAAGGATGGCCCAAGGCCTTGGGACCCTGCACCCACGTGGGAGACCCGGAGGCAGCTCTTGGCTCTTGGCTTCAGATCAGCTCAGCTCTGGCCACTGAGGCTGCTTGGGGAGTGAGCCAGCGGAAGTAAGATCTTTCTGTCTCTCCTCTCTGTAAATCTGACTTTCCAATAAAAATGGTTTTTAAGAATGCAAATGTTCAAAAAGGGATATCTCCTCTATTGAAAAAGTAACAATGTGACATACTTGCACAGTGAGTATAAAAGTCAGCCTTGTATCAATGCACTTTGGAGGCGTCAAATCTCCAAGAAAGTGCAGAAAAAGACCTCTTCAAACAACTCAGGGCCCAGTGTGATGGCTCAGCAGCTAAATCCTCGCCTTGCACACACCAGGAGCCCACTTGGGCGCCGGTTCATGTCCTGGCTGCCCCACTTCCCATCCAGCTCCCTGCCTGTGGCCTGGGAAAGCAGTGGAGGACGGCCCAAAGCCTTGGGACCCTGCACCTGCATGGGAAATCCAGAAGAAGCTCCTGGCTCCTGGCTTCAGATGAGCTCAGCTCTGGCAGTTGTAGCCACTTGGGGAGTGAACTGGAGGATACAAGACCTTTGTCTCTTTTCCAATAAGCAGACGCAGTCCCAGATGCTCCTTCCCACTCCGTGGTACTGAGTCTGGGAAAGCAGCAGCAGACGGCTTGAGCAGAGCAGCCAGAACTCCAATTGGTGCTCTGACACAGGATATTACCACGCATGACGACAAGCCGTGCCACGACACCAGACACTGAAAGCACCTTCATTTCTGCGTGGACGATCTTGTCTTATTCCCGTGGCCTCAGTCACGCTCTCTGACACTCCGCTGACCCCAGGAGCCTGCAGACAGCCGGAAACACTGGGACCCCCGCCTGGGACAGGCCTTCTACCCTCAGGGCAACTTTCCCTCCAAAGTTCCCACGTTGGTTTTCAGAACCTCAACCTTTCAGAATTTTAACCCTGTGTGATTTCCAACCTTTCAGAACGTCAAACCTCATGATTACCACGGCACCACACTGTCCATGGCTCACTTCTCACCTTTCCTTCTAACTACAAACGCCACTTCCTGCACGAGGCCGTCGTCGGCCTGCACCCCTCTGGCTTTTCTGCCATGCTCATACTTCCAGTTCCCACGAACCTCAGCAGGACTCACGGTACTTGCTTCATCCCCAGCAATTAAGAGCAGGGGAAAAGCCTCTGGGGTATCTTCATCCTAGAAGATCAACCTACCCCAAGAATCCGGTTTCTAGTTAGTACCAGTTACAGTTGAGAGACTCCCCTACCCTCGCCTCTGAGTGCTCTCTGACCTGGCCCACACGCCTGGGGGGCACCTGGGCTCTGTGCCACCCCAGCGCCCTCTCAAACCCAGACTGCCCTCCCGCGTTCCCGCAGCCACTCCCCCACACCAGCCGATATGGCCCCTTGAGCCTCAAACCAGAAGCCAAAAACCCAGCAGGCTGTCCTAACCACCCTTCTGACCACATCTCAGTGACTTAACAGATAGCAACATGCACAGACTTTGAAACCTCGTGGCTCTCAGCCTCCTTCCGCCCTCAGCACCTTTCATATAATCCCTCACTCACTCGCTAAGCAGCACCGTGGTACCCACGAGGTGCCAGGCACAGGGCCCCCGGGGAACCAAACCAATGAAAACTGCCCTGAGGGCCGACGCACAGACCTGACAACCCCGCGTCGGCTGAGTCATGGAGTCCTGCCACTTTCACAGACTAAAACCCTTCACCCCGGCCCCGGCTCCTCACACTGCTGACTGGGATCAGAGCGCCAGCTCTCACAACAGCCTCAGGGCGGCCTGCTCCTGCCATGGCTGCCTGGTCCAGGGTAACCCGCAAAAACTCTACATGGAGTCTTTACACTTGGTAACTCTCTGTTACCACACCTGGAGCCATCAGAGGACGACCAACACCTGCACCCCTGCCACCCGCCTCGAAGACCCGGCTAGCGCTCCTGGTCCTGGCTTCAGCCTGCCCCAGCCCTGGGCACTGGAGAGTGAACCCGTGGATGGAAGATCTCTAGGTGTCTCTCCCTGTCACTCTACCATTGGAATACACAAATCTTTAGCCTCTCCTGCCTCACCCTGGCCAAAAACTGAAAACTCTGCTCTTTCTGAAATACCTGATTTCAGGATCCCCACCCCCACAGGATGCACTACAAATTCCTTGGAATGTCTAAAAGACCCAAAGCCCACAGGAACACCTCCCCTGTACACACTCCAGTCACGGCGGGCAGGGACATGTGGCAGAAGCGAGGTCTGTTCCCATCTCCCACCTCCCACCACCAACTCCTGCCAAATCCATGGGTTTTCTCACACCCCCAGCCTCTCTTGCTTCTATGTTTATCCTTTGGTTGTTGCTGTTATTAAATACTATGTTGAAAACCAAAGTTACAAAGACAAAGAGAATTTTCCATCCACAACAGCCAGCACTGGGCCAGGTAGGAACTTCATCCCAGTTTCCCAGGGACCCAAACACTTAGGTCATCTTCTATTGCTTTTCCCAGGTCGCAAGCAGGGAGCCAGACAGGAAGTGGAGCAGTGAGGACATGAAGCAGCACTCAGGAGGGATGCTGATGTCGCAAGTGGTGGCCTCACCCACTATGCCACAACGCTGGCCCCTCCGTATCTTCCAACCACACCATCGGCTCCTCTGCAAGGCCCTGAAGGCCAGAAGGGCACCAGCTCCCTGATCTGCCAGCCACAGCCCTGTCGCCCGCACACCTTCTCCTTACTGAAAGCCTGGATCAGGCCGACTGCTATGGCGGGCACGGTGCACAGTGGCTGAAGGCCAAGTCTGTGACCCCTGCCGACAGCAGCTGCTCCACCCACCCTGCTGGAACACAGGGGCGTCTCTCGCTGGCCTGAGCAATGGCTGCTAACAAACTGGTGCTATTGACTGGAAATTCTCTGAATGGATTCCTAACAACGTTTTCACCGGTGCAAAAACACTTGCTGTGGAATTTTACTTCTAAAAATATTAGTGCTTCTCCCCCAAAAATAACAGTCTCCAAAAGGCAGTTTTAGAGACAAGTTTGTTCTCCTAGACTTACTCAACGTGTTCAGCACTAGCAGACAGTGATTCTCACAAACCAAACACCAGCCAGGACAGCCAGGACAGCCAGGAGCCGGCACTGACGTGGCACGAGGCCGAGGAGCGGCCACACCTGCTCCCTCACCACACTGCTACGCAGACACGCCAGATGCCCACTCCTTCACTCATACAAATACCCTGTCTACCATCCCAGGCACCGGGCACAGCCTGGGACTAACCCTCCTGGCCTCCCGGGAGCTCCCAACCTAAGGGGCCAGCAGAAACCGCTCTGTGGATAGGGCAGGCTGCTTCCCTCACGCCCTTCTGCACTCACAGTGCTCCAAGCAAGGCTAAGTCCTTCACCAGAAGAAAAGCTAGGCGCCAGCCCTGAGGGGCACACGGCGATGCTGGCATCCCGTGTGTGCCAGGTAGCGTGCTGGCTGCTACACCTGCAATGCAGCGCCCTACTCCCATGGGTTCCTAGGTCCTTGCCACCCAGGTGCCACTCACGGAGCTGGCTCCTGGCTGCCACCTGGCCCAACCTCAACCACTTAGAGAGTGAACCTACAGGTGGAAGATCTCTCTCTGGCTCTTCCTCTAAAAGTCAGCGGCAACAAGATCCTGAAAATGACACCACAGGCTGTCCCGGCGTTAGGCCTCCTGGCCCTATAGGATGGGCACACATTTCTCAGGCACCTAACACCCTCCTCTCACGACAACCCCACGAGACCGCACAAGTTGGCAAAGCGAGGCGCCGAAGGGTCAAGTCACCACAGGCTTGGGGTCACACAGCCGACCACGGGCAGGACCGGGCCAGGAACACAGCCTGCCCTCCTTCAGGCCTCGGTCACCTAACCAGTCCTCAGTAAGCACCCTCCCGGGAAGAGGCCCCGCTGTGAAGAGCGAGGCAGCAGGGAAAGGTGTCCCGTCCTGAACCACGGAGGATGCATCCGCTTGTCTACACACACCTCCCCCCGGGGAGCGAGGCTCCGTCCTCCCGGGGGTCCACTGTGCTGGTATCCCAGGGCTCTCCCGGTGGGACATGGCCTGCTGCTCCCTAGGAAAGGACCCCCGCCAGCACCCGGCGCACCCCTAGGTGCCGGGCAGAGCCGTGAGGACGCCAGCGCTAGGGGCTACAGGGCAAGCCTCGGGACCTGCACCCCGCGCCTCCACGATCCCAAAGCCCCGGGTGCACCCCAGCTTGGCCGCTGCTGGCCCCTGGCAGGCTGGCAGAAGGCAGGGCTCCCCTCGGAAGCTCGTGGCCCCCCAGGACCCCCGCACCCCGACTACCTCCGGGCAAGAGCAGCGAGGCCGGAGCGGCCGCGGCCTGGGTGACCGGGATGAAGGGCACGTTGAAGTTGAACTCTGTGGCCGAGGAGGAGAAGAGCAAGTTAGTGCCCGACGAGGAGGTGGAGCCGCCGCCGCTGCCACCATTAGGTTTCCTTTCGGCCATGGCTGCGGCCCTCCGTCCGTTACACGTCTCCCGGTAGCCGGCGCAGTACCAGCCGGCCGGAAACTAGTCACCCTCGGGGCCAGCGCACTTCCGCACTTGCGCCGGCCGGGGGAGGAACCCGGAACTCCTAATGGAAGTCGTCTGCTCTCTCCGTCCGGCTCACCAGCGTTGCCAGGAAACAACATGGCGGCGCAGGCGGCGCGCCAGGGTTTAGCACGTGACCCGCGTCGCCGCTGCGCAGGCCCAGCGGGAGTCGGGGGATTTGGGCGGTGGACCGTAGCTGCTGCCGGTCTGGGACCGTGAGCGCCTGGGAGGTGGAAGCCACGGGTTGGGAGGGCAGCTTCCTAACGCTCCCGGCGGGGTGGATTCACTGGCACATTCCGGAGGGATAACGGGTCCCTCAGGAGCAGGTGGCGGGGTGAGCCAGGGAGAGGAGGGCGGAAAGAGGTTGTTGGGGCCGTCACAACCATTCTAAATGATTCCTGCCTTTCCTGCGCTGAATTCTTGTCCTGGGCCCAGAAATGAAACTGGTGAAACTTAAGAAATATCTAATACACAAGGAGAGAGAGAAAAAAAAGCTGTCTACGAGAAAAGCCGGAGGATTGACTGAGGAGTGGGACTTTGAATGCAGTAGCTTTCTGTCTTCACGGTGGCCCGGCTCGAGCCAACCTGCAGTGTGGATAACTCAAAGCCATTGTCATTTTTCTTAGAGATTACAGAGGGGCGGGGGAATAGATAAACAGTCTTTAAGCTTCCTGGAGTATCGAGAAGAGACCCCCGACCCGCAATATGAGGAACCGGGTGGTGGGTGTTGAAGGTAGATGTCACTTTAAGTCAGCGACTACTTTTTATTTTTAAACGATTTCTGCATTTAGTAGAAAGGCCGAGTTAAGGAGAGGCACATCCTCTGAAATCAGTAAGTACTTAATGTGTTCAATGTCAACGGTGTGTGTTTGTTTTTCTCCTGTTTTGTTTGAAAGCCAGCCACCAGGGATGGTTGTGGAATAACAAGTTAAGCTGCCTTCTGCAACTTGAATAGCCCCTTTCGGCACCAGTTGGAATCACAGCCACTCGGCTTCTGATCCGGCTCCCTGCTAATGGGACTCAGAAAGCTGCAGAATGGCCTACAAGCTTCGATCACAGATAGCACAGGGGACACCCAGGTAGAACTCCTGGGCTTGCCCTTTGGGACCGTCAGGGATTGAACCTGCCTCTCTAACTCTGCATTTAATATTTAATAAATAAAATACATTTTAAAGATTTATTTCTTTTTATTGGAAAGGCAGATATACAGAGAGAAAGATCTTCTGTTCGCTGGTTCACTCCCCAAGCAACAGCAGAAACTGAGCTCATCTGAAACCAGGAGCTCAGAGCCTCTTCCTGGTCTCCCACACAGGTGCAGGGTCCCAAGGCTTTGTGCCATCCTCGACTGCTTTCCCAGGTCACAAGCAGGGAACTGGATGGGAAGTGGGGCAGCAAGGATTAGAACTGGCACCCACATGGGATGTTGATACGTGCAAGGTGAAGACTTTAGCCACTAGGCTACTGTGCTAGGCCCTAAAATATTTTTTAATAAAGCTAGACATTATTAAAGACAACCAGATTAGTCATAACTATTATAATAGAAAGGTGATATGAACTGAACTTAGCTGGCCAAACTTATTAATTTATTTAAAAGGCAGAGAAAGAGAGAGCATTGTGCAGCTCACCCCTGACTGGCAGCAGCAGTCAAGGCGGAGCCAGTCTGAAGCCAGGAATTCCATTGAGGTCTCCCACATGGATGGCAGGAACAGAACAGCTCAGGACGAGTGTTCCTCGACAGCTTCCTGGGCACCCTGGCACAGAGCTGGGTTCTGATTCGATACACAGATGCAGGTTCGGCAAGCACTGGGTTAGCCCACTCTGCCACAGATGCCTGCCCCAGTTGGAGACTTTTAAGGTTTTTTAAGATTTATTTATTTTACATGAAACGGCTACAGTGAGAGAGAGAGATTTTCCATTTGCTGGATCATGCCCCAAAAGGGTTGCAACAGACAGAGCTGGGCCAGTATGAAGCCGGAAGCCTCACCTGGTTCTCCCATGTGAACCCCTGCACCCAGTTGGAGACTTAGTTGTGCTGAGAGAAAGTACTGAGCGGTGTGAATGGCACTTGGTCAACCACGTGACCATCTGTGCTTACCCACCGGTACTTAACTCAAAAGAGACGTGTAATTCCTGGATCTTGATGACAGGCAATGGTCTGAGTTGGAGCCAGGCACACCCAGGGACCAGAAAGGAGAGCAAGAGCTGTCTCCTCGCTGCCTCGGTTTTGAAACGACAGCTCTCGGGTCCTCGTGAAGACAGTGCCAGGTGGTACAAGAGTCACTGCAGAGGGCCACAGGGAGAACTAGACTTGGCAGCCTGAAGTCATGGCACAAAGCGAGGGCAGAGCCGCAGGTGGCGGCTGGGACAGGCAGGCAATGGTCCTGCAGTGAGCTCTTGCAGCCTCTTTTTAAATTATTTGACAGGCAGCAAGTCAGAAATCTCCTGTCTGCTGGCTCACTCTCCGAAGTGCCCACGATGACCAGAGCTGAGCCAGGCAAAGCCAGGAACCCAGAATTCTACATGGATCTTCCAGGGCTGCAGGTAAAAATTGGGCCCAGGCCACTCAGTGCTGGAACACTAATTTCGTACATATCAGAGATGGCGTAAGGAAACAGGCGTATTGAAGAAGATAGCATTCCTGGGGAAAGGTCCCAGATCTGCTCTTACTGTAAGCTTATTCCAAAGATTGATTCATATGTTGATTGATTAGAAGGAGCCACAGGGACAGATGTGTTTCGTTCCCTGGTTAATTCCCAGAATGGATACAGTGGGGTCTAAGCCAGGCTAAACCCAGGAGACAAGACTCCCCAAGGGCCTCCCAAGCAGGTGACGGGGCCCCAAGTGCTCAGGCCACTCCCTGCTGCCTTCTCAGGCATATCAACAGGAAGGTGATGAGAAGTGGAGCAACCAGGACTCCAAGCAGCACTGTGGCATGGTTCGCCACTCTTAGGTCTGGATGTAATTTTTTGAGAAACAGCCATACTGCTTTTTCATGTTGATCATATCATTCGATATCCTCACCCTTCACGTACAGAAGTTTCAATTTATTCATATTCTTACAAACGAACCTGTGCCTATATGGGATGCCAGTGACTGCAGTTATGGCATTACTTATTCCTCCACCTCTTTTTTTTAAAGAGGTATTTATTTTTATTTTTATTACAAGGATATATGGAAAGAGGAGGAGAGACAGAGAGGAAGATCTTCCCTCCGATGATTCACTCCCCAAGTCCGGATCTCCCACATGGGTGCAGGAACCCAAGGCTTTGGGCTGTCCTCAACTGCTCTCCCAGGCCAAGCAGGGAGCTAGATGGGAAGCAGGGGTCTGCATGGATTAGAACCGGCGCCCATATGGGATCCTGGGTGTGCAAGGTGAGGACCTTAACCACTTGCGCCACCACGCCGGGCCCCATTCCCCCACTTCTAATCGAGCTCCCTGCATGTGGCCTGGGAAAGCAGCAGAGGATAACTGAAGTTCTTGAGCCCTTGCATCTACATGGAGACCCAGAAGAAGCTCCTGGCTCCTGGCTTCAGATTGGCTCAGCACTGTCATGTGCAGCCATTTGGAGAGTGAACCAGCAGGTGGAAGATCTCTCTCTCTCCTCTATCGGTAAAATATGCCTTTCAAATAAGAGTTACAGAGAGACAGAGAGAGAAAAATCTTTTATCCCCTGGTTCACTCCTCAGGTTCTACAACAGCCAGGTCTGAGCCAGGTCAAAGCCGGAGCCAAGAGCTCCATCTCGGTCTCCCACATGGGTAGCTGAGGCCCAAACTCATGGCCCATCCTTTTTTTTTTTTTTTTAAGATTTATTTTATTTTTACTGGAAAGTCAGTTAAACAGAGAGGAGGAGAGACAGTTCCATCAGTTGATTCATTCCCCAAGTGGCCACAGTGGCCAGAGCTGAGCCAATCTGAAGCCAGGAGCCAGGAGCTCTTCTGGGTCTCCCATGTGGGTGCAGGGTCCCAAGACTTTGGGTCATCCCCAACTGTTTTCCCAGACCACAAGCAGGGAGCTAGATAGGAAACAGGGCTGCCAGTATTAGAACCAGTGCCCATATGGTATCCCGGTGCGTGCAAGGCAAGGACTTTAGCCACTAGGCTGCTGTGCCAGGCCCATATGGTGGCCCATCCTTGACTGCCTTCCCAAGCTATTTAGCAGGAAGTTGGGTGGAGGGTGAAGCACTAGGACATAAGCTAGCCTCCCTGTGGGATGTTGGCATCGAGGTGATGATGTTCCCTGCTATAACTCAGTGCCAGCTCCTTCTCTTTGGGGCTTAACGAAAAGGGTAGCAAAGATTGGGAGGTTTATCCGCTGTCTCGCCGCAGGGCTCCAACCAAGAGAAAACCAAAGATTTCACTTTCCCAGCTTCCCTTTCTTCACCTGTGTGTAACTCTGAAACAGTTCATTGAAACTGTTACACCTCAATCTGGTGTGGCCTGTTCCACCCTCCACCCTCTAGAGCGTGCTGCTGAGACGTGGGCGTGAAAGTGCACACCTGGAAACGTTTCTGTACAAATCTGCAAAGCAGGTGCCACAGTGCCAAGGGCAGAAGCACACTGGTGACGTCTCTGTGCTTGACCCCTTCAAGCAACCTCATCCAGTGGCTAAAGAGGAAGACTTTTTTTTTTTTATTGAAAAGGCAGATTTTGCAGAATAAAGTAGAGACAGGGAGAAAAAGCTTTGGTCTGTCGATTCACTCCCCAGACGGCTGCAGTGGCCAGAGCTGAGACAAAGCAGGAAGCCAGCAGCTTCTTCCGGATCTCCCACATGGGTACAGGGAGCTCAGTGACTTGGGCAGACCTCTGCTGCTTTCCCAGGCCACAGAGAGCTGGATGGGAAATGCAGCAGCCGGAACACGAACCTGCACCCAAATGGGATGCTGGCACTTGCAAGCAGAGGGTTAGACAGTTGAGCTCTTCTGCTGCCACAGCAGGAAAACTTTTTT